CTGGCGGTTGACAATGAAAAGTAAAGGAACCTGTCATAAATAAAAACTGTTCTAAATTTGTAGCTCAAAAATCAACTAGGCGTCCGAACCGATGTTTGGCAGCTGACATAGACTTGCACTTCCATCCCTGGTTTTCTGCTACCTTTTTCGAGAATCTTTCCTGCCCGGAGATAGAGGGTAAACTTTTGAAAAACATGTAGTAGTCTTTTATTGCAATGACTTGCGGTGACATTTACATACACCCCTTAGGCGCACAAACACCACCCATCACTTTTCTGGCCACCCATGTCACTGTAAGTAGCTGTACGCCTGCGGCAATCACCACGGCTTAGTTTTAATTGTCCTATTGTACGGCAAATCGCCCCAAAGCACCCGGGGTTAGATCAAAACAAAGAAGCATTGGACCGGCGCAACTTCCCAGTGCCAGCACTACTGCCAGCGCTACTGCCCTGCCCCAACATCACTGGCTGAGAGAGTCCCTGGCCCGCACTGTCATCATCACTGTGAAAGTCATTCATGTAGAGGGTACGCTGAGAATCCGAAAAGTATTCATCATCATCCTGGGTGTCATTCAGCCCCTGGCCCCAGTCATCTTCATACACCTCCCGGGGTGGGTCATCGGGAATTTCAATCAAAGGAACTTCTGACTTGTCAAAGCAACCAGCGTTCACATCAGCCAAAATGTCACGTTCAAGTTCAAGCTGTTCAATATCGAAGGGGCAATGAGGTTCCCATTCCTGGCTCCAGTCCTCCTGAGAACTAGGTGGCTGGTTGGTAAGTTGGTGAGGCTTGACCCGCTTCTCAAACTGTGTCTTGATCACACCTTTGTTCTTCAAGGAGTCCAGCAAAAGAGGCCTTGGCTAGTGTACAATAGACTAAACAAGAATGGCCCATACCTAATTAATCCCAGACAAAATCAAATGAACAATGACTTCAAATAATAAAAAATAACTTGGGCATTTTACCAAGTAGCATTGCCAAAATGAAACGATGGCACAGCAACCAACAACGCAAACTATCCCCCAGATTCTTGAACCCCAAAAAGCTCCGCCACAGATTGTTTTGCCGATACTTTTCCACAAAATTAAACTGAAACACCAAGCACCCAGCTCAGCATCAACATTCCCGTGCCTTGAAAAATACGGAGTTCTCAATCAGTCGTGTCGGACTTGTCTTGGAAGAAACAAACATGTCGAGCCTTAGCTGGCAAGTTGGGAAACAATCGTTAAAAAAACACTGAGGCCACCTTTTATTTCCCACTGTTGAGATTGAGAACTTGTCCAAATCTGCAATCCCCAAAAACAAAATGCCCGCTCAGTCAAGCAACGTCTCTTTCATGAAATCATCGGCGTAAATGGGGCGCTGACCTATCCTGACATCGAGACGGTGTGATATTTCAAGATTTTTTTTTTGACTGTGAAAATCATGTTTTTCTTTCTAAAAGGGACACATGTGTCAACCCCCTTCCTACTTTGGTTTTCACAACAAATACTTGGATGTTCATCCCCCACAACATGGCCCTGCAGGTCCATCAGGCCTTCTCACAGCATGTGCAAGATCCTGCACGCGAATTTTGATGTTCTCGAAGTAGGGCTCCTCGCCATCCCCGAAATCAAAGGCTCCAGCCAAACACTCCTGAGGCTCAAGGAAGTAGCAGGGACGTTAACCAATGATAATTTGCCACCCAAAAAAACATTTTTTAAAAATATAAGTTTGTCGTAACCTTCATTCTCTGACATCAGTAATTTGACCCCACGCCAGAAACAACGCCTAGATTCTAGAGCACGTTGCTCGTCACGCGCCGCATCAGCTGCTAAACATTCAGTCTTAGTCTTCAATATCTTCTCAAAGCCAGGATACTGGGACCTAAGATCAAGGGGGTTGCCATAGAGCAGGAACACTGGCGTTGTTGTCATAAAATCAAACCACAGTGAAATCGGTTGGAGAACATTGGAAAATTATGGCAAAATTAAACATGGAATTGAATCGTTCAAGAAACCGTTCTTGTTTCGAATATGGCATCCGGGAACTGGGGCATGCAAATTCGCGCAATATCTTCTGTGTTGCTTCCGATATCTTCTTAGCATGGGTCTGTAGAAGTTCTGCAATGTTGTATACCCCAAGAACACCTGCATTTGGTGTCAAACTTTCACAACAACTGCCATACCGGATGCAAAGCCATCCGGCTGATGCATCCTGCATCAGTGAAATGGATTCCGAATCCATCCTGAGATGCACACAACAGAAAAGGTTACCCATGAAAAAATACACAGTCAAACTACTACTCTGTTCAAACTTCCAAATTGCAAATGAGATTCAAGCATGCAATCGTCATTTTGCGGGCTGCCTCCCCCAAACAGGCCTTCATTTTTCGAAGTTTGACACGTCCCTTAGCTATCATGAAACCCCCAAAAAAACTACTGTATGTCAAATGACTTCCAGGTAAATGCAAGGCCAGTATTTCCACCTGTCTATTTCAATCAAGATGCAAAGCGGCCTTCCTCTGCTGAGTGGTTGGCCTTCGAAGTTCTGGTCCTAGGCAGTGGCGTTAGTTTGGCAGCCACTATTTCCCAACATAACTAATCCGGCACTTTTAAACATTGGTAGCTTAGTTAGCCGAGAATCAAAACGGTACGGAATAGATCTGCTGCAGGAACCTTATTAACCAGGCAGTGATAACGAAACATCCGTCATACCTCATGTGAATCAAACATTGCATTGTCAAGGAACTATCTTCCCATCAACCAATGGCACATGGGTCCCAATTCCAGTTTGCTTCGCAATCGCAAGCTTGTGTTGACGAGTGTTGGCATGTTGTTCCAAGGATTGTTGGCGAACCAAAGCCTTGGTAGGAGGAACTTTCATGTTTCCGCAAAGTTAGTCAACGTCTTAGCAAAAACTAAACCCATTTTCCAAACACGGTAAATGTTGACAGAATTTTGATCAAGTAACTCTGCGGCATGCTTTGAACTTTGCCCATACTCCACCTACACCAGCCTTTTGGCAAATGTTGCATCCCAGGCCTCTCTGGGAGATAGAAACCCAAGGATACTGTTCGCTCCAATCACGCCAATGCTTCAAAACATGGGCGTTCCATTCCTTAGGGCAACAGTGAGGGTTTGAGTTTCAGACCTAAACAGCCACCTTAAGAACTATGCCTACCATAGCTCAAAAACTTGGAATTGAACATTATGTTCCAAAATCATATGTAATTCTGTTGTTGATGTCACCGCAAAATAGGCCGGTGGAGTTTCCAAAAACCATAACTGCCTAGTCTCAAATTGGATAATCTTTGGGGGGAACGCCAAGCGTCAACATAGGCACAGCTGGACAAGCGCACCATTGCACTACGCAGTCCCCACGCAAACTGATGGTTTCTATTCACGTGCCTGAAAAAAAATGCCATTCTTAATTTAATTCAACTGAACAATTTTTTATGCAAAACAAGTGTTCCTAAAAAATGATTTTTTAAACAAAAAACTAAACAAATTAAAAGCGCTAGGAAGTGTTTTAAGACGTTGGGTTATTCGAAAAGGTTTCGCCCTGACGCGACCATAGTGTTTGGGCAAAATGCCTTGCAGGGGCCCGGATGCCCAAAGTCAACAAAGCATGGGCTGAACCAGAGTTGGACTGTACCAAGCGGTCAGAATCATAAGGGCACCAACACTTTGCATCAAATTGGTATTTTCCTACTGGATTGTTTTATGGGTTGAAAGTTTGTAGGCTGATGAACCTCTAAAAGATAGTATCGCTTTCAGATGGCCAAATACTTTTTGAGTTTATGGGATTCATGGGCCATGCCCATTTAAAATTGTTGTTCATACTAATTAATATTAACTTATTAAGTGTTCGACAAATGTAATATATCACTGACACGAAGCATATTACAAAAATACCCCTTGTATCCTTAATTTAATGATGGACAATTACTATCAAAATGGATGATTCGGGGGCACCCACATTTTAGGAAACCTCCATGTTTTTTTACACCAACTCACCATCACCAACTGCCATTGAGGTCGTGGCTGGTGCAGAGCACAGCCCAGCGGCACTGCAGGGCGGATGGCCCTGCACTTCCCCCCCCACCCCCCACCCCCCACCCCCCCACCTAAACCCCACCTAAACGATTCGAGGCGGATAGACAATAATAACGATTCTATTAAAATGAGCAACGATTCTTAAGATTTGAATAACTTATCAGGAGTACAGGATAGATTCACAACTATAATAATTCTATGAGTGCCGGGGTTAACACTTATCCAAACTACCAACGAGATAACCCATGTCATCTAATCTGATTGTAGGTTCCTCAGCAAAATTAGTAGAAATTCCATTTGATTATTTGATTATTTTAAAAGCAGCCCAGTAAGGCATACTCCAATGGTTGGGATGAAAATGCCAACGAGCTGTGGGGATGGTGGACAAAGGTGACCCCCAGATTCCGACAAGGATACGGAAAACCAGGTCTTCCTGGATGGTTCTATACTTTACCTCACCAGCCAAGTTTGCCACTTTACCGAGGTCTCCCCACCCGACAACGCCTTGCTTTGCTGGTGGTCTTGGATGCAGCCCTCAAGTGTGCGGAGGTGTAGAGCCCCAAAAAGGTGACCTTTGATAAGATGGGCTTAGGAAAAAGTATCGGCCGCCTTTTTTTGGGGGTTGAATTTCCATGATCCAACAATATCCATCAATATCCAACATTTATATACGTACTTTAACTTTAACTGAAATCATACTGAATGGGTTAGGATTTCTGAAAGAACTTGGGTATTTGTGTGGGACTGATCATCCTATTTGCTGGGCAGTCCAATTCGGCGGCAGAGGGGCAGATCTCTGAGAACACAAAAGTAGGTGATCTCAACATCAACTACCCCTGAAACAATCAGCCAGAAGTGCAAACTGACCCTTGGGAGACTGTTTTTTTTAATGAATTTATTTGGATGTGACTTCCATTTTTCAGACAGAGTAGCTGAACAGCAACCCACAGACCGTGATTTACCATGCCGGAGCCCAGCAAACAGGTCACAATTATGGCCAAAAACTCCAAGCCACACATTCAAAGGTGAGCAATACCGTTATTGCCCATGTTTACCTCCAGTAGATAGTGGATGATGTTTTGTTTGATTTATCTACAGTATATTGGATAGTTCTGCGGAATCAGAACACGGATAGTTTAACTTAGACATCTTCAATATACTCTATAATTATATAATGTGGTAAACCCAATGCCATAAACAGCTACCATTTGGGGATGACTATTGCCACCCGTAAAAATGGTGATGACTTGGGGATGTTAGTAGCACCCACCAGAGATGTCTTGCAGGTGCCCGGCGATGCCACAGAAGCATTGCTACCGCGGCTTCCCAGGCTCTTTGAGCTTTTCACTGCAGAGGCGAAAAATAGACGGGTGAGGACGGTGAGGCCTATATATTTCAGCACAAATATGGTCATGTTATGTCATGTTTGAGATTTTTTTAAGTTACACTGGTGGTCACGTGATTGTAATCAAACAGAGGATTTGCTAACACAATTTGGGTAGAGAATGCATTTAAAACATCTTAAAATGTGGAGGTTTGGTAAGCCCCTTTTGCTTCAGGGGCTCTGTTTCCTGGATGTGCTGGCGTCGATTTCACGTCGCCTGATTTGCGCTGCATGCCACTTGGTGCAAGTCATGAAGAAGGGAACGTTGGCTCTATAAACCCTCCGGTCGTGAATCGTGGCAATGGAAAATTATGGAAAATCCCAGAAGTAAATGCAGCTTTCTAGCTCGGAAAATCATCGAATTAACTGTGGGGTTTTCCAGCAAGCCATGTTTGAGCACACCGGAGGGTAAGTGTTAGTCAACATTGGTCAACGATGTTTGTTTCCATCCCTGTGATGAGGAGCCCAATCCACTAATCATTCATAGTTTCTGGATGGGTTGAACAACCACCTGAAGTAAGTCAAACCTGAGGCAGCAATTCATTCGTAGCGGATATATACGGATATGAGATACGTACATTGGGTAATTTTGGGATAAACATTGCTATATACATAGAATATCATAGAACACATTATTTGTGTCCGTATTGCTTGATTGATCTTCTTTGGGTGACCCCAAGTGATTCGTAGCCGTATCACTCTAGATGGGACGCTTATATCACTATTTTTTTTATTTTATAAGCATTAACATGTTCATGGGTTATATATGCGATATATGATTGTATATGCGATATATATATATATATATACATACCTGGAAAGCCAAAAACACAAACAATTCTGGTCATTGTTGGAAAAAACCGTAATGATTATTTTTGTTTGGTATTTTTTTCCCGTAATGACACCAAAAATGCTCAAATCAAAAGAACATCGCAGTCCTACCCGTAGCAAGACCGTATTTTTGCGATATTTTGTTGAACAAAAAATGTAAAAGAAAGCCGTAGCAGCTCTCACACAAGCCTACCCGTAGCAACTCACACAAGTGGCTCTAGACGATCAAAGCCGTAATGACAAACAAATGGTCAAGGCCGTTTGACCAAAAGAATGGAATTATGGTTTTCAAGGTACATATATATATATATATATATGTCGATATATGATGATATATGGTTATGTAATATATATATATATTATTTATATATATTATATATATATTATATATTATATATATATTATATATTATATATATTATGTCATGACAAACATCAACATGTCTATGCATTACTATACACTGATTACTACCAAAGTTGCCACCGATGTTGCTCCCTGTCCGGCTCCGAGGTCAAAAGGACGAGGCAGGTGGTGACATCCCACGTGTTGCGACAGGTAAAGACCCCATGTATGGAATATTTACCAACATTTACCACATAAATGACCCAAATGTAGGTAAATATACCATACATGGATTCTATGGGTGATGTTCATGATCAAAACATGTCCGAAATCTGCTAAACACAAATTGAACATGATTGAACTTTTTTTTTAGAACGTACTTGAACTACGTTCGTAGTTCATAAGATGATTCAACACATTCTACAGCCTCAGATATCAACATCATTAGATATCATCAATCCATGTTTTAACCGGTCCCTTATTTTTTCAGCCGTCGTTCGCCAGGCGCTTCCCCGCGCCCTGCTGGTTGCACTGCTCAGCGCGCTGCGCACGCGCCGCAGCGGCGTTCATGCCATGCTGCAGCTGGCGGAAGCGCTGGTGGCCTGGGCTGAGAGGCCAGAGATAAATCGCGTTGGGATTGTGATTGGATAAAATCTATGAGAAAATAGTAATAATACTGGTTAATAGTCTATTACATATTGATAATAATATAGTAATAATATAATTATACTATCAATATAGTACAGTAATGATCTATAATGATACTGGTTAAGTATAATAATGATCTATAATGATCTATAACTGGTTGGTGGTTTGGAACCATGGAATTTTATGACTTTCCATTCAGTTGGGAATGTCATCATCCCAACTGACGTTCATATTTTTCAGAGGGATTGAAACCACCAACCAGGATAAAATCTATGACCAATGGGATTTTCATGGGATTTTCATGGGATTGATGGATGGATTAACAGCTATGACCAATGGGATTCGCATGGATTAGAAATGGGGAGAACGGATGATAATGGGATTAGCAATGTGAATGGGAATTAGGGATTTAGTAGGATTTAATTGACTTGAATGGGATTAGAAATGATGTTAATGCGAATGAACAATGGACTTCAATGAGGTTGAATGGACCTTTAATGGGGTGAACAATGGGGTTAACAATGTTAACGGGAATTTCATAGGAATTTAATCGGAATTTACCCTCCAGTAGTTTACCATGGCTATGGATTTCGCACCAACCAGTTGATAGGTTAGCTATGTAAATTAGATTCATTTTCCAGTTCGCTATGGAGAGAATATTTTTAAACAGTAGTTATCCATACTTGGGAGAGCTTGGGAGAGCTATGTGCATTCTTTAGAAAAAGTTAAGACTTGTTGGAACAGCTGAAACTGGGAGTTTAAGAATCAAATATGTCAAAGACTTGGGATTCCTAGTAACCAGCTCTATTTAAAACTTGAAGCAAAGCTTGAGGTTGAGGCTGGGTAACTGTTGTGAGTTTGTTAACAAACATATATCATATATATCACTCAGTCACTATATATCATAATTAGATACTACAAACAATTACTGGACTTCAGTCTATGATTATGCTTGGGATTTGTCCAACTGACTGATCAACTGCTATCATCACTATCAACTACTATCAACTATAATTAATCATTTGACAGCAGTTATGGCAGTTATTATTATTAGATCTATGAACTATTATGAGTTAACATATTTATCTATCAACTATTACATCAACTGCGATTATATGTATTAGTTATGACAGTTATGAACTATTATTATGTTTGACTAACAGTGAACAAACCATAGTGATATAGTGATTTTCACCATGATTGATGGTTGAATTTTAACATGATTGAGTAATATTTACAAAATTAACCACCATTAAATTAATATGATATCACTATATAATTTTCATATTTTCACCATTAATCACCATTAATCACCATTAAAACAATATCATATTTGCACTTCACTGAACCATCTTCACCATGAATTTCTTGCTGAACGAAGCCGTGATTCCGGTTTGCTTCGCCAGGAGTTCGGAGGTGCAAACAGCCACCAGAGACTTGGCAACGGCCCATGGCCCATGTTTAAGAGGTAATGGGCCATGTTCCATGGCTATGTTAAATAACCACAGGGTAATATTTGAGTAGGATAATGATGGATAATGTGTATATTTAATAAAGAACATCTTACAATATCAGGATTTTTCTAGGATAGATTCGTAGATGTATGATTTAGATAAATATAGTATAATGACTAGGATGTATGTGTATATATATAGTATCTAGGATGTATCAATGTATCGTAGATGTATCTAAAGTTGGATGGGGTTGCATGAAGTATTGTTTATCAATCATATGTTGGGCCAATATTGAAATCAACTGGGAATTGGACACATGATGTTCCCTATTTGATCCTGATTTGTAGTTGCTCCAATCTTATTTGTCGCTGCTCAAATATCTTAGATGCCCAGTTGTTGTTGTTGTTGCTGATGCAACCAGCATTTCAACTGGTTCAACTGGACCAAAAAACACACATAATATACACATACACATACATATGCACATAAATACATACACATATGACCATGTCCCAAAAATAGTTGACATATGTTTTGTACCAGTGGTTGATAATTAATAATTAGTGTGGACCTAGTATTGTTTCCTCTTAGTTATGAGGTGGCACGCAACTAACTTATACATAATCATATCATATACATATACATATACCTATACCTATTCCTTTACATATACACATACATACACATTTAATTACATGCACATATACAAAAACATATCCATCTACATATACAAACACATATACATATACAAAACATCACAAAACATTATTTATCTATGACATCATCTTAGATCATCTTAAATTTCCACAGAGTGTCAAAAGTCCCCGTTTTTCGGAGCCCTAAGGGCAGCTGGTGCTGGATCTCTACAGCTCCCTATCTCTTCAGCTCAGTTCTCCCACCTCGGAGCTGAGCCAAGTGCTAGGGCCTCTGCTGGCGCTGGGGCACCGGGGGGTGGACCTATGGCGCCTTGGATGACACCGGGGAAAGGGGGTACACCATGACGCGAAGAGTGGGATGAAGATAGAATGGCACAATTACATGATATACTGTATACATATATATATATATCATCAAACATATAGTTATCTATATCATCAAACATATGATGGTCGAATGTATATCTATCTACATCATCAAGCATATACTGGTTGAATGTGTATACATAATTATACATATATATATATATATGAAAATAGGTTCGTATACTGTACCCAGTTTTTTGTCAGAAAAAGGGGAAAAATATGAAATCTTTTGGACCATGGGACGGACCATTTAATTTTCAATTGGCCTACTGTAGGGTATGGCTCCATTTTCCAATGGGAGGCCCTGTAAAAAGGCTCGATTTTGACTGGCCTGCAGCCTGACGTCATTTATTGTTGCAGATGATGATCTGTCACTGGAGCCTTTTAACCGTCCCTCTGAAGAATTGATGATTTAGAGAGACATCAAAATCGAACGATACAGAATTTTGTTTGCACATGCACACAACACCTCAATCAAGGATCCTGGAATAGTGAATAGGCTGGATACGTGTTGCTATATTCCCTTTCTCTGCTGAAGACTTTAGCCAGGAACGGTTTGCCACCCCAAATGGGATGGTTCAAGAACTATCACCTACAACAATCTGGTATAACCTATCATAATCTAATTATATAAACCAGCTTTTTGCGAGTCCTTCTAACATGTAGCCTCATTAAAAAAAAAGGACTCTGTCCAGTCCTTGCTTTCCAAGGACCTGCGACAAGATAGGCCCAGGGGGCACCCACTTGGAAGGGCCACCAGAACTGGGAATAATATGCATAAAACCTGCAAAAACAATCAACAACAGGGATATAAACCAATCATCAGCAATGAATGTCACAGGATTACAGGTTGGTGAGTAGTCTCAGATTTCTTTCATACATTTCCTACTGAAGCTGGGATGGTGCCCTTTGGGCCGCAGGTTTGGGAAACAAGATCTTCGGCTCGGCACTCTCCATCTTGGAGGCGGAGAAATTCAGCAGGTGGTGTTGCAGCATAGTGCTATAATCAAAAGTGGGTCAATACCACTGGCTGGTTTTCAAAATGACATTGTTGTTTTTTCTTTGAACATCGGACGTTCATCTACCTCAAAATATGTCGGCATCATTTTTGTTGGACCCGGGGTTTGATGTTTTACCAGTTTGAGCTTATGACTAGTAAAGTTCAGCCATTAGATCCCTGCAGCCATCACACAATGCAGATGCAGCAGTAAAGTCGCCTCACATCCATTTATCAGCTCTTTGCATCGGAGTAAACCTGTAAACCTTGGTTGCTCTGAATTTTGCAGCTTGATTCTGTTTTGAAAGACAACCAACGTGCAGGCCTCCGATGGCCAGCAGCCTGAAGGACAGTCAGCGGGCGATGGCAGCGGCGATTTGGCTTGCAGTAGCTATTACGGTGAAGAAAAGTTGTCGAGATTCAGTTCATTCTTTGGATTCTTTGGCATCGAAGTGTGTAAGGATTGCAAAGGTGTGTCAAACCTTGCCAGTGCCTGATTAGTCTTTGGAAGCTTGCCAAATTTGGTCAGCATAACCTGCATTTATCCAGCAGTTGGATCCCAATGTTCTTTTGAACCACCTAGACATTTGATGGCTGCTCGTATGTTCCAATTCTCAGTTTTCTGTCCTGAACAACAGCTCAGTCGGAACCAGACTTTTTGGGCGTCAAGTAAGCAGCCTAGGAATGCAAGCTCATCATGCATCGATGCTTTCTATATATTAGTCCATCCGTATGAATCAATGTATGCATCAATGATTTGGTTTAAGGGAACATCTACAGGAAAGTATGGTTACTCTCATCAAGTATGGTGGTTTCCTGCAAAATGTCTCTTAAACCAATCCAATGAGAGAACATTTCAGAAACGATCCAAACCTCCTTCCTGATGGTCATGTTCAGCCACGGAGGAATCTACTACCCTCTGGTAAACTAACATAGCTATTGAAAATGACCATTTATAGTGGATTTTCCCATTAAAAATGGTGATTTCCCATAGCTATGTTAGTTTACCAGAGGGTAAGTGCACTACAGAAACAACACATTATTTATCTAACCTTGGCCACCCTTTCTATCCGTAAACCAGGAGAAGCCGTGCCTACGGTGTCTCCACGGGTGGCGGCAGAGTTGCTGCAGCTCTTGACGTTGCTGAGTTGTTGGCGAGCAAGGTGAGTGGCTGAGTGGCTGAGTGGCTTGGGGAGGTTAGGATGGAGATTTTATGATGGTGAGAAATGGTGAAAATCCATGGACTTAATACTAGGTGAAAATCTGGGTTAATAAGTGTTGATAGTTGTTGGGTACCCTTCGGTGTCGTCGAACATGGCTTGCTGGACATCCCAAGCTCTAAACATCTCTAAACCTTCATTTCGTTCGGGGAAATTCATGGCAATTCCATTGCCATAAGAAGGATCCATGGTGCTGGTATATATGATAACATTTGAGCTATATTGATGGTAAATGTTAGCATATAATAGCATATATACCATACATGGATCCTATGGGTAGCAGAAGGATCAACTCTCAGTGTGAAAAAAAGAGTCGGATGGTGGGAGATTTCATCAAGGGATGGCTTGACCATGCTCTTCAACCTGGGATTTCAGTGCCCCAAACTTGGGGAACCGTCAAACATACGCGGACTTCACTATCAAAAAAGGCCACCAAAGCTGGAGTAGAAGGGGAACGGATACAACCAATCTCTACACATGGTTGGTGTTTTTGTATGTTTTTGTTTCACATAATTCACGTGCATTCATTAGTTGTATTAGTGGTAAAAAGTGGGACGATAATCCCAGTTGATTTTCATGTTTTGGAACGGATAGCTCAACCACGAGCCATTTGAGATGCTAAGGATGAATTATGATCTGTTGGAGAGGGCGAGAAAGAGGGCGCCACCATTGACATATGGGTGGATATGCTGTGTACCCAATGGTTTTTCCATGTTTTTCCACATCCAAGCACTACTGTAGATCTATGGGACTCTGTTTCCATCAGTGATCGCGGAGGTCTGGTCCCAATCGTTGGCATCCCAAGCAACATCTACACGGAGCTACAGTGGATGGTTGCGAAATCCTGCACCACCAAAAGGATGGTTGAAACTTGTTGAAACCCTATAAATAATGGGATAATCAACCTATCAGCTGGTGCAGCATTTCTTCCATCCACAGTATCTTTCATGTTTTTTTGATTTGTCAATGATTCTAAATGGAGTTATGATTCAATGATATTGAAGTATATTGAAGTACTGTATATGTATATCAGAATGCCAATCAACGCCTTGATACCCTGACTTATGCCAAGTCATACCCTCCGGTAATCAAGCACAGCTTTCCGGGGAATCACTCCATTTAGTTCGATGATTTTCCCAGCTATAAGACTATAAGCCTCCATTTTTAGTGCGGGAATTTCCCAGGCAGCCATGTCTGATGACAATGAAGGGTACCCAACAACTAGTAAGAGTTATTGACCTACTTGTAGTATTAACTCACAATTGGCCACTAGTCACCATCATTATCTCCATCATTATCAAGCCTGGTGGAGCCCATGACTTCTACCCCTGCCGCACTGAGATCGCGAAGCCAGGTGTTTACTCGGCGAAGCGTCAAAGGAAAATTCAGGTGCCACGGTGCTGTTGCTGTGTCTATTTGTGCTCTGGGTAGGACTATTACTATCGTGGAATATTATAGAATATCATAGATATGTATGTGGTATGCAGCACGGTATGCATGTTATTATAATACTATGAACTAGATTATTATTTTATATATTTTTATATTGTATTGTACTAGAATACCATCTATTAGCAGTGTTCGTTGTATGTTGTTGTAAATATTACTGTCTTCTCATTGCCAAAAAGGATGTGGCTTGGTGGATGTGGATTCATCGGATGATAGGGGATCATCTTCCAAAACACAGTAGATACCCTCTGGTAATTTAACATAGCTATGGGAAATCACCATTTTTAATGGGAAAATCCACGATTTCAATGGCAATTTTCAATAGCTGACTGTTAGTTTACCAGAGGGTATCACTAGATTGTATTGAATATCTGGGCCCTCCATGATTCTCTGGGGACAGTTCTTGGCTTCCATGATTCCATCCAGGGGTTTCCATCTCGAAACACAAAAATGCCATATCTATAGTACAGACCCACTTGGATGGATGATGGATGTTGGAGTTTCTCACTTTTTAGGACATCCCCAGATCCAAAATGATCCAAATAATTTTTGAATATCCCAACAAAATCCCAGAAAAACAACTGCACGAAAAGAAAAGAATCCATGGAGTGTGCTGCCGAAAAACCAGGTTTTCTGATGTGGTGCCACCTGATTCGCGCCAGCTGCAGCAAGGTGAGGCTGGCGAAACAGGAATGGGAGACCAATTTTTCAATCGATTCCTATGGCAATTTTAGAGAGAAACGTGATGCTCAACCATCAGAGGTTGGGATAGATGCATATGTATATGATTGTATATGCGTATGTATATATATATATATAAATAACTATGTATAGCTTTAATTGTCTGATCGCCCGACACTCCCTTGATGTACAAATGATTGACCAAAACCTTGTGAACCCCCCAAAAGCTATAGACCCGTTTTCCGTGCAAAAAATCCAATACATCTAAATATCTTGGTTTTGGTGAGAAAAAGTCCCAGCATGTACAGTTGGATTCCCGCAGCAGTTGGGCTGTGGTCTTCCCATCGCGCCGTGGATCTCTACCATGGAACTTCCACCATGTCCCGAGTGCAAAAGCACCGCGAATCTCGTACCACTGGACACAGCCGTCTACTGCCGCGCATGTTCGACTACAAGGTGGGAACATGTAGAACATCTTTACCCATAGGATCGATGTATGCTATATATGGTAACATTTACCATCGATATACCCCCAATGTTCGCATATATACCATACATGGATCCTATGGGTTATGGTGAGGACTATCAAGGGATCATACACCACTAACCGCTTATCATCCAAGGTGGATAATAGCCTATCATTCAGTGGTAGGCCCTAGAGGTTCCCTCCCGTTACATTGCTTAGATGTTTATTTACAAGTCCGATATTTGGTGAGCTAGGCAATGCCAATTCCAAACATTCACTAGATAAGATTTTGGCCGTTGCTCAGAGAAGTATATATTTCCCAATTCATCCTGAGACAGTTTTGTTTTTTCTTTTCGGGCGATTTCCTTATGTTTCACTGGATTGCACCCAGGCTTTTCCCATCAAACATGGGGGTTCCGGGTTCCTGTCATATCTGTCCTTCAACCAAGTGTCAGGATTTTGCCAAGCTCCATGAGTTTCTAACATATTCATACATATTCCCCAATTCAATCATCCGGAAAATCTAGACTTTTATGATTTTTTGTTTTTCCCATGATATCGAAATATGTCGATCGTTTTGGTGTTCAATCCGCATCAGCCACCAGTGGCAGGTGTCTCAGTTGTCACAACATGTGGAACGCTGACCACCGCTGCGCGACTTCCGTGGCACTGTCCAAGGCCGAACGATTCTGAAAGGATCTAGGTGGTTCAATGGTGGTTTAGTGATTTTATATGATTTTTATTGGGGACTTAATCAGGATTCATTGGGTTTTAATATGTTCCCTCCAAAACCCGGCTTCGCCCACACTCAAACCACACATTTAAACACTATGATATAATATACTTATCACCAGAGGATGAATGACATCACTGCCTACACGCAGTGATTTTGACTTTAAGCTTTCAGGATTCAGGGTTTTAATTGAGGGTTTTAGGTTTTAGGCTTTTAGGGTTTGTTGTTTGTGAAAGTGAACAACTTAAACCCTACGAAGGGATTTGAGCATGTCAAAGGATATGCGGGACTCGCCGCGGGCAAACGTAGGGTTTGCAGCGAATATGTCTTGAAATTAGGTACCCCTAAATCCATTGATTGTGATCAGTCCCATTATTTCATAGCCACATAAAAAGCGTGATTTTACATGATTTTACCTTGTTTTCAGGATTTTACGGTTGAATCTTTCTAACGTAGTAGACCCAATGCCACAAACCTATGTCCCATTTGAGGATCATGATTTCAAGCAGCCATTTTATTGCAACTCCTGGTGGATGGCTCATGATTGTGTTCACCACACTCAAATTTGACACGTGGAGCTAAATAAAGATATGACACCAAGTCCACCATTCCAAGATGCTTTAGGAAGAAAAAACACCAACGGTGTTGTTTTTTGTTGTTTATTTTCCCCTCGATTTTCCCAGCAGTCTCAGGGTTCTTATTGTTTTCCCCATCCTGTCGATCTTCCAGGCCTGGGAAGGTTTCAAAGACCTGGCCACCTTTGAGATCCAGTTGAAACCCATGGGATTCAAGCGCTGCCCCGCCTGCCAATATCCCTGTGAGAAAGCGGACCCCTTGTCCTGTGATCACATCACCTGCGACCTTTGGATGCAGAAAATCGCATGGTCCGGGGCCGCCATGGATTTGACCCAGAAAATGGCCAGCTCAAAATCTACCCATACATACTTACGGAGGGCACCACAAGAATGACACCTTCCCCAAGTATATGTAAATTATTGTAAATTATATTAAATTATGTCAAAACCTCTATCCTATGGAATACTAATAAATACTAATAAATACATTTAAATACTATCCTCCAGAAATCCCAGTTAGCCTAGTTGCAAACCAGCTGACCTATCGGATGGTTAAGATTCGCCCAAAAGTTGTGGTTGGTAAGTCTGATCAAACCCAAACATTATGAGGAAGGTCAGCTTGGCCTGGATGATACCCATTTCTATCCTTCTTCTTGGACTTGTTGCTTTTACCCTCTGGTTATTTAACATAGCCATGGAAAATCACCATTTTTAATAGGTAAACCATCTACAAATGGACCATCTATACCATGGCTATGTTAAATAACCAGATGGTAGATGATTTTCTTTGTTTATGATCATGTATGCTTGTCAAATTGCCAGCGTACTTCTCGCCATTGAATTGACCAAAAAATGGGTACCTACCGGGTTGATGTGAAATATCCGATAGAGATATCCTCACTTTGTGGCTAACGAACCCTTGTCAAGGTTGAATTATGTTAAATGCCACTATGATAACCACTGGTGGCCGGTTCAATCATTTTTGGAGGATTGTTGACAACTATTGAAAAAAATCGCAATGTTTGTTGGTGTAAATCATGTTTAACGCCTTATCAACTATAATTAATATGTATATATATATATCCCCATGTTTCTGATACTTAACCATGTTAGACCCCCATACTACCGATGGTTAACTCCCACAAGTGGCAGCTATGTTTAACCATTGATTATTTACCATATTGCAAAAATGCAACGTTAAAATTTGACTTGCAGGTAAGTTAAGCATCAATTTAACCATGGATCATCCCAGTATTTTTGCTAAGTTTACCATTAAGTTTAACTATCATAGCTTACCTGAAGTTCACCATGTATTATAATTATTATATCAATTACATACCCCCATGTTTCTAGTAGTTTCTCACCATGTTAGACCCCCTTTCTATGGTTAAATCCCACTTCTTTTTTTTGCAATCTTCCGCTATTCATCACTGTATAAATCACTATTCAGCACTAAATTCACTATTAATTTCTATTAATCCTTTCTAATCCCTATTTTTTGGTAAATCTCTGATGAATCGCGCAGGAATGTGGCCATCAATTCTGCTGGAATTGTGGTGAAGACCGACGGGTGATCTATGCCCATGACCTTAGCTATCATCACCCAAGGCGCGATGGGATTTGAAGACTAAAATCCATGGGAATTAGGGATAAGAATGGTTTGATATAGGTGGGATAATCATGTATAGTTTAAACTGATTTGAATAGTTTACCATCAAACAGAGATGGGATGCCCATCAAAAATATGGCAATGTCATAGTTTGTGACCCATCTCTGGAGCTGAATTCATATGAGGATCGAAGCAGCAAAAGATCGAACCGGGTAACCGGCACCGAAGTCAGACCAACTTCGTAAAAAAAGATCTCAGCATGGGGTAATCATGCAATACTTCCAGTTTGCAATACTACTGCTAATACATATATAAATATATAGATAATATAATATAATATAGTTTATCAAAGTTGATGCTTTTCGCCATCTGGAGCGCCACCAAGCCTTTTTTGGATTCCAAGGTTGTCCCCGGCTCGCCCCAAAACGGTCACTGCAGGTGCAAGTTCTACGTGCCCTGTGACGAGAAACCCAAGTTGGAGAAGTTGCTGGGCTTTTCAGCTCCAGTGGATGCCTCATTGGTGAAAAGCCATCTGGATAAAAAGGGATTAAGCAAACAAAAAACAATCCCGAATTAATTATATATAATAGTTATATAAGTTATATAGCTATTTACCTCTACTATATTATATACTCTTAAATAACTATACAAATAGAAGTTGTCGGAATTCTAGGTATATCAAGATGACCTCACCACAAGGTCACTGGAAAACCAATGGTTGGACCAGGGGATGGGGATCAGCCATGCACTCGGCCCAAGGAATTGCCCAAGATGTAAAGAGACCGGAATCCCGTGCTTGCGTCCGTCTGAAGAAGAAGCAGCCACAAAGGCAAGTGTGTGAAAGTTGCATGTTGTGTTTCACTATCCATGAGGTCCATGAACACACAATCATATTATATCATATTTTTTCTGAACACACAATCGATCATATTTTGTCGGAATGTATTACAATGTATGCATGAAATATACTCTACTTATCATGTAGCCCATTGGACTCGACCGTTGTTCGGCCAACTGTGCTGGGAACCGCGAGGCCAACGTCCAGAAAGAGCAGCTGGGGCTCTACATGAAAAATTGGCGCCGCACCGAGGAACGCGACGCGGCATTGGTCTCAGAGAAGACGGAGGTCCGCGCTGGCGCTCCGCCCTTTGGAGAAGTCTTTGCTCAGATGCCTGGAAAAACTGAGATCTGAATGGTCCATGCACATGTAAATATGTAATATGTGTGTTGTATATACTTTGTATCATGTCATATGTTTTAATATGTTTTAATATACATAAAGGGTGAAGGTGATGTGTACTTTTATGTCTATTGTGGTGGGTCAACTTTTAGCCAAGAATTCACTTACCCTGTGGTAAACGTTTACATAACTATGGAAAATCACAATTTTTGAGGGCTAAATCCACTATTTCAATGGGCCATTTTCAATAGCCTATGTAACAAATTACCAGAGGGTAGTTTTGGGGCCAACATAAGGTCATTTTCCATGGGTTTATGCCAAGATTAACCTGACCAGGTCAGGCGCTGCTTGGGGTTGCCCAGTGATCATTTCAGGGGTTGACTGCATGGACAATGCACCAGAGTCGTTGCGGGTCCATCGGCCTAAGGATGTTTTGCGGTGGTCCATTGGCATCTTGTTGCAGAGTTCTGGGCACCGAAAACGCCCGCAGATGATGCATAGATAAGGTCTTGAAATCTGGGTGTGTCCATGTTTTTTTTTTGACACCATGCTTCAGAATTTGCAGAATTTGCAGACGTGTTTATCCGGAAATCCAGTGTTGGCCATGTTTGGACACACCCACAGAATCTTTTCAGCTTCGAAGAAGTTGACATATGCAGAATTCACCTTGGCCTTGCTTTTTGGAGTTCCACAAAGGTGGAAAACTCCCACAGGTTCAAGGCACGTTTAGCCCAGTGGTTGGCTACACATACAATAAACATACAGCGACTGCGCGCGTCTTCCAGCCATCCGTTAAGGATTTCTACGTACGACTATATCATTAAAGTGCGTCAACAACGAATTCTTGCCATTGTAATTACCCTCCGGTAATCACACGTGGCAATGGAAAATCACCCATCGATGATTGTGAAAAATTGAGGCCTCTGGGATTTGTCAGTGCCTCGGTTGATTTTCAGAGGGTATGCAATGATCTGATAATCCAATAACAATGATTGATATTCAGTCACTAACTGGGATAATCCAATAACAATGATCAATGATCGAAATGGTTAATTCAGTCACTACCAGGACCTACCAATAACATCCAATGACTGGGGATGTTGATCCTGAGGATTGATGGTGGTGCGGACTGCGGACGATCGAGACGAATTTCGAAGCTGATTCTCTTAGATATACTATATTAATAGTTTAGATTTATAGAGAACTTAGTAGGTCAGATGGTCAGACAACTTAGTAATTACGCTCGATAACTTGGTAAGTTAGACCACTTCAATAACTTGCCGGAAGTGGACGAGTGCTGCAGTGACTGTTGCCTCCAGAGCCAGAAGTTTCGGTGAAAAGTCCGGTGCAGTTGGTGCGCGACGCGTTTCTTAGCTAACAATTTGTTGAGTCCTGCAAGATGACTGTTAAGACTTGGAGAGGTTCAGCTGTCGAGGTTTGAATCCCAAATGCTTGACCTTTCACTATTGAATTTGCATTGACTATATAGATAAAGGACATGAACGTGTCATTTCTCTTGGTGCTCCACCAAGCACTCAGCCCCATGCTACACGCGCGAAGGTCATGGCGGGTGAAGCCAATGATTTGTTGTTGCGCTTGGAAGCCTTCAGTTGCTATCTCTTGCTGCTGCATTTGGAGTTTCTGGGGTTCGCTGCTCAGGAACTTGAGAAGTGCCAGATCCGGGACAAGACTTGAACGTCAGGGTCAAGGATTATAACTTTTTATGAGAGTATAATATAGTTAATGTTTAATGCTAGCCTTGGATGATCACAGAGTACTGCAGTGATTTACATTATTTGCATACAATATTATATCATCCCATTATCCACCATGTATCAAATATTCGAGGGATGGGATCTACTGTAGTTTTACAATTTTTATATCATAACCCAGGGGATCCCAGGGCTAATGGCATAATTAAAGCCAAATATTACACACATTGACATTCCCATTCTATGGCTGTCTGGTCACAAAAATCTGCGGTTTCATTCCCGTCCACCAAGAGTTCACCAGGCACAAGGACACCCAGGGCTTGCCGAAAGTGCCGGAGCAGCACTTGACGTCCATAGACCTTGCTCTTCGGGAGTCTTGGCCGTTAAAAAATCCGCCTGGCTGGGAATATCGGGAAATTCAGGTGTTGTTTTCTATGTTCGGCTGGTAAAATGAGGTAGGGTTAACAACATGTCATACTGCAATATATATACATATATATATATACATTATCACACCGATTTGCTGGGTACGAGGCAAGCTATTTGTCAATCCCCAAAGAATGGCTATTGTAGTTCAGGGTCTCCAAAGGGACCAAAGTTTATAAGCAGAACAGTAGTTTTTCCTGGGCGGACTCAAGCTTTGACCAATACTTATTCAAGCAACTATCAGTCCTTCAAAATACCCATAACAGTGGGTATGTATGCGGCATGTGGCGCAAACTTTTGCTACTCCTTATCAGCATAAATGTAATGCTTAGACAGCCGTTTGATCACAGAATGGGAGCCATCCACAGACTGAACCACCCTATGGCGCGGATTTACAACTATTTGCATTCCCATGTTGTGCCGGTCATATTTCAAGTTTTTTCTTGCTTCATGTTTTTCCAGGTGAACGCATGACAATCAAAATAGTTTGAAGTCTCTTTCTTTGGGTGTCACATATAGGTTTTGTTGACGGTGTTCAAGGTTTCAAGCTGGTTTTTATATTAATGGAAGGTGGCTAAAAATGCGGTCCTTTTAATCATGCTTTAACATTAACTACTGTACTCGTACCATTCAAGGGAAGCTTCTTGGCTGCCAAGGTCCAGTTCCAGCCACTAGCAGTTATATAATGTTATACATATACATATATATATATATGTGTGTGTGTGTCACACAATAGTTGTTATAGTTGTTACAGTATGTGCATATATATATATAATAGTAATATGGACAAGTACAATATATATATACACATAAGTATGTATTATAGATATATATATATATATATGGATAAGTACATATACATATATATATATAGTATCTCAACTTATGGTGGTTAATCCCACAGTCACACCCATACACCTTACCCCAGTCCTGCACCCACAACTTTGACACCGAGGACTTCTATGCTGGGCACACGACGTCGTCGTCGTCCTGGCGCCAATCTGCGGCGCAGCTGGGCGGACGTGACGTGACCATTTGCAGGCCACGGAATACCAGGAAGGTGCCATGGTCCCCCAAAAATGGATGGTTTATATTGGAAAATTCTATTAAAATGGATGATTTGGGGGTACCACTATTTTTGGAAACCTCCATATACATAGATATATATATATAATTACACATAATACATATATATATATACATATATACATATATATATATATATACACATACTATATGTGGGCTTCAAGATTTAATAATGGTGATATCGTAGGAATATAATGTTTTTCTTTACCAACTTAATATGGGATGAACGGATTATGGTCATCCCTCTGTAACTCACCCAAGTTTTGACCATGGCACAGTACTGTACCCATTAAAGCAAGACGTATAAAGTATCGTTTATTTATGATGGGCAATTATATTATACACATTATTTTTTGTAATGCACATTATTATTTGATACAATTGTTATGTACCCATTAATTTATTTACAATGCGCATAATACCGATGGTGATCATCATTACAATGGCTTCAGGTAGCATCTATGGAATGCTGAAAGTAGGTCTAGGGCGACCAGTTGATGACCAGCGCTGTATATCCCAATACCCATCCAATATCCCATGTAGGGGTTGAGGAAACCAGCTCCCGGACCATTTCCAATACTTTCCAATATGTCTGAATCCCAGTTTCAGGATGGTTTCACCATGTCAAAGCAGAGTTGTTGGATGGTTAAACCAGGTTAAACAAGTTTAAACATTGCTAAACTTAAACTTTCCAGGATCTTTGATTGCTAAGCCTTTTTCTTTTGATGGTTAAATCATATTAACCTATATGAAACCATATTAAGTCATATTGAACCATATAAAACCATATTAGCCTACATGAAACCATATTAAGTCCTATTGAACCATATTAAACCATATTAACCTATATGAAACCATATTAAGTCATATTGAACCATATTAAACCATATTAACCTATATGAAACCATATTGTGTCATATTGAACCAGATTAAACCATATTAACCTATATGAAACCATATTAAGAAATATTGAACCATATTAAACAATATTGACCTATATTAAACTATATTAACTCATATTCAACCATACTAAACCATATTAACCTATATTGAACCATATTATGTCATATAGAACCATATTAAACCATATTAACCTTTATTGAACCATATTATGTCATATAGAACCATATTAAACCATATTAACCTATATTAAACCCTACTAAGGCATATAGAACCATATTAAACCATATTAACCTATATTAAACCCTACTAAGGCATATAGAACCATATTAAACCATATTAACCTATATTAAACCATATTAAGGCATATTGAACCATAGTAAACCATTTTAAACACAATTCTCTCAACAAGAATGGGATGACTGTCCAATCTTCACAGGTGGCTCATCGACCGATACCTGCGCGAAGCCGATGAAGCCGATGGCGATGCAACGACTCCGGAGCGCTGGGAGGAGGCTGGTACCCAAGTTGGGCTTGGTTTATTATTTACCCTCTGGTAATGGCTGACGTAGCTATTGAAAATGGCCATAGAAATAGTGAGTTTTCACATTAAAAATGTTGATTTTCAATAGCTATGTAAACGTTTACCAGAGGGTATTTGTTAGTTAATTACTAATGGTAGTTTACTAATTTAATAATCCACTGGTAAATTTAATATTCAATGGTTGAAAGTTGGGACACACTAAGCTAAGTCGATTTTCAGTCATCAATTACTGATCACATCTCAGCTTGCTAGTATAGTAAACGACTTTAGTTACGAAGTATATTTTCAGTGATCCCAAGTAATCAAGTATTGATGGTAAACTTAGTACAGTTAGTTGGGGCTGGGATATATGAGGTACTAAGTATATTAATTGGACAGTGGTTAATAGTGATTAGCAGTGATGAGTAGTTCATGATTCGTGAGTCAAAACCTTGGTGCCCAAACGGTACTCTAAGTTATAGCTGGTTCATGGATGTGAAAATTCCCGCAGTCATATGGATTACATTTGTTTATAATTGGTTTTGACCCATCCCCGTAACATCTAAAAACGATATCAACTACCCAGTGGTTAAGAGTGACTAGTAGTGCTTTATAGTGGTTAATATGTATATACATATATATATATATGTATACATATATATATATGTATATATATATACGCATATTGATTAATTAATGGGGATACCCTCCCCTAAATTCACATATGGAAAATGGCCAGTTGATAGATTTACGTATTAAACATTGTAACTTTATGTAATGCAATGATGCAATATAATTGTTACCCTAAAACCGTTGATTTTCCGAATTCTCCGCGAATTGTTGTTGAAATATTTGAAATCTAACGAAGATCCTTCTCCCCATGGAGTTTGCTCCAGGATTGTTCGCCCCAGGTCAGATCCATGGTGGCGTCTTGTGCATCCAGGATGCTGGCAGAGTGCCAACATGAGGCGGGCGAGCTGGGATGAGAACCATTTGATGAAGCCATAAAGGGCCCATGAAGGGGTCCTTTTTGGAGGTTTCAGGAGGGTAAATGCGAAGAACTGGTAGACTTTCACAAGTTACGCAGTTCATCATTGTTCATAGATTTTGCGTGAGGGGTTGTAACACATCTACGAGGCAGTTACTAGGCAACATCCCCATTAGATACCGTTATTAATGGCAGCATAGGTCGGATGACCATCTGCAGAATAGACAATTCAACCGTATCGAACCGGACTCTATGTTGTTTTGAATTTGTTCAAGTTCAGCGTTGTCTTAAGCATCTTCTCCATGTGTGGGACTCCATTTACACATATTTTTACACATTTAGCTATATACACTTATGTTGTCATGGGTGATTTGTTGGCGTGAAATGTTGCTAAGTATTCACAAGCATTCCATCTATGGAGCATATGGTAGCATGTTCTTGAAATCGTTTCAGGCTCGAGGTCATTCCTTGCGTAGGCCATCTATACGAGCAGTGCTGCGGAACGCCTGTTGCAACAACTGGGGCATGTGGCATCAGGAGCCGACACTGTGAGATCTCGGAGAGGACAATGTTTGATCAAGGGAAATACCTGGAAATAACCAAAGAGGCATTTCAAAAGAGGATATGAAAAGTAAGTATTTTTTGGGGGTTGGTGTTTATAGGTATTTCAGTGGAGGTGATTACTTATCTTTAATGTGCTTTCAGTTTATATGCTGGACTTCTTTTATTGTCACATGATGTTATCCTATACTGGTATATGTTAGTTCTTTGGCTAATTTGGACAACCCAATGCCATAAAGACATACCATTTGGAGATGATATATATATATATACATTCCACATCATTCCAATTTATGATCATTTATGGTCATATTGGAAGTTAATTATACCATCTGGTAATTTGACACAGCTATTGAACATGGCAAGTTGCAGTCGATTTACCAGAAAAAAAGTGATTTTCAATAGCTAAGTCCGTTTCCCAGAGGGAAATTGGATTTACCACATGGTGCAGACGTTTTTTTTTTTTGAAGTTAGAGCAGTTTTTTGTCTCCCGCACTCAGTAGACCCGGGCAAGTCTGGAAGCGACACTCAGGTGCCATCCGCGCCGATGTAGTCCTGGTTGTTTTATTCATGGGGAAAATTTGGGGAAAACTCATCAAATCTTGGGGTTCTCCCATCATGTTCAGACAAGCCCAAGGTGTTTGTGATTTTTCCCCACCTGCCAGGTGAGGGTTGTTAGATTTTATCAGAGCTGTTCTCCTCCTCCTCCTCCTCCGCCTCCGCCTCCGCCTCCTCCTCCTCCTCCGCCTCCTCCTCGCAGTCCAGATCCCAGTGGGCACAGCCGGACCTCCACCGCGAGCTCCAGATCCCAGTGGGCACTGCCGGACCTCAACCGCAAGTTGCAGATTCGAGTGGGCAGTGCCGGACCTCAACCGCGACTTCCAGATCGCAGTGGGCACTGCCGGACCTCAACCGCGACTTCCAGATCGCAGTGGACACTGCCGGACCTCAACGGGAAGAAAAGATGTCAGATAGAATGTCAGAAGATATGCCAGATAGAATGCCAGATAGAATGCCAGAAGATATGCCAGAACATATGCCAGATAGAATGCCAGAAGGTATGCCAGAAAGAATGTCAGAAATAATGTCAGAAGATATGCCAGACAGAATGTCAGAAGATATGCCAGAAAGAATGTCACAAGATATGTCAGATAGAATGTCAGAAGATATGCCAGATAGAATGCCAGAAGACATGCCAGAAGATATGCCAGAACATATGCCAGAAGATATGCCAGAACATATGCCAGAAGATATGCCAGATAGAATGCCAGAAGATTTGCCAGATAGAATGCCAGAATATATGCCAGAAGATATACCAGATAGAATGCCAGATAGAATGCCAGAAGATATGTCAGATAGAATGCCAGAAGATATGCCAGATAGAATGCCAGAAGATTTGCCAGATAGAATGCCAGAAGATATGCCAGAAGATATGCCAGATAGAATGCCAGATCGAATGCCAGAAGATATGTCAGATAGAATGCCAGAAGATTTGCCAGTAAGAAAATGTATAAATGTCATGGTGGGGATCATTCGAAGTGAAGTAATTGTTGATGGTACTGATCAGATTGCTGATCCCCAGCTAGGGCCCCCCTGTTGTTGTCCTCAAGAGGCGTTGCAGCCGGTTTTATTAGTCTTCCCTTGTTCTAAACTTGTTCTTTATTATTTTCAAGAGGCGTTGCAGCCGGTATTTTCCAAATTCAAAAAACTTAGTAAAACACCCCTTGTTGCATAGGCAAAAGGGTTAAGCCCAATAATAACCATCCCCAAAATTAGCCCCGAATGGTAGTTGTTTATGGGTGAAGGATTTGGCCATGTTTGAAACCGGATACCCAGTACCCAGCCATATCATAGTCATTCACCTAGTACTACTGTAATCATTATTAGCCAGTCTGAAAATGATTGAAAATGAACCCTTACAAACCATCACTAACCACTATGATTCATTGCTAATCATTATTACCCTGTGTGAACCATGACTAACCATTATGAACCAATCTTGACCGCTATTAACCAGTATGAATCATGACTAACCACTATTTACACCTATTTACTATTCACCAGTGCTAACCTTGATGATTGCTAACCATGTTGATTAACCTCACCCAAACATTAACCCATCATTGCAATCCATCATGAAATGATGATTTCTATTACCAACCATTACTGTTGTTGCAGTTAGTAATCATTATTAACCATTTCTAACCATTATTTCTAGTACTGAACATCATTAACCATTACTAACCATCATTAACCATTACTAGCTATCATTAACCATTCCTAGCCATTGCTAACCATTACTACTTATTATTTCTTTTACAAACCATTATTAATCATCATTCACCATTATTAACAACTATTAACCATCAGTAAGATCATTAACCATTACTAATCATTATTAACCATCATTAACCATTATATACTAACCATTATTAACCATGACTATCCATTACTAACCTTTATTAACCACCGTTAACCATTACTAACCATTTTTTCTATTTCTAACAATTATTAACAATCATTAAACATCATTAACCTTCATTAACCATCTTTAACCATCATTAACCATCATTAACCATCATTAATCATGGTTATCATTACTCGCTATTATTTACCATTATTAACCAACATTTATCATTACTAACCATTATTTCTATTACTAACCATTTTAAACTATCATTAACCATCATTAACCATCATCAACCATTAGTAACCATTACATTACTAACCATTTTCAACCATTAATAACCATTACTAACAATTACAAACCATTATTTCTATTAATAATTATTAAACATAATTAAACATAATTAACCATCATGAACCATTACTAACAATCAATAACCATTATAAACCATTACAAACCATTACTAGCCATTATTTCTATTACTAACCATTATTAATCATCATTAACGATCATTAACCATCATTAACTATCATTAACCATTACTAACCATTACGAACCATCATTAACCATTACTAACCATTATTACCAACATTAACCATTGCTGACCATTATTTCATATTATTTCTATTACTAACCATTATTAATCATCATTAACGATCATTAACCATCATTAACCATCATTAACCATTACTAACCATTACCAACCATCATTAACCATTACTAACCATTATTACCAACATTAACCATTGCTGACCATTATTTCTATTACTAACCATTATTAACCATGATTAACGCCTCCAAAGCGCTGTTGCAGTTGGACGGCCGACGGCCGCAGGTGGCGGCGTTGCAGCTCCTCTCACGGCTGCGGCGCTACGGAAACCGCTCCGCACATGAGGCAGCGCAAGGCATGCGTTGCAGCTCCGACTCGCCGCTTTTGGATGGTTGCAGTAGAATCAGAAGCTAAAAATGTCTACTTCTACGGAAAATATGGAATATACTATTTTAGTATTGACATATGGAATATACTATTTTAGTTAAAATAGAAAATCTACCGACAATATGGAAAATCAACTATTTCTATGGCCATTGTCACTAGCTATGTTAATGCTATGTTAGTTTCAACAGATGGTATCTTACAACATGTCTATCCGTATATGGGGTCTTCCTGAAATGGAGGTACCCCAATAGCTGGATGCTTTATTTCATGGAAAATCCTACTAAAATGGATGACAACTGGGGGTACCTCCATTTCAGGAAGCCTCCATGTATGAATTAATAAACCTTGATTGTTGGGTAGTTTTTTTTTTCGAATTAATGAGCCCTTTATTGGGGAGGTTAGGTCAGGTTGGCAAAATCCCCATGAAGTAATATTACGTAGATATCAAATGGTATTCTTCAATGTTGAAGGTCCTGCGACCCGCAGATCTTAATGATTCTTAAGTTCTGTTTCTGGCAATCCAGCCATTTTGAGGGAATTGTCCATTTGGACCTCACATTCAAATTGGAAGAATGGTAGGAAACATCTATCTCCTGAGAATGCAAGTGCAGCATCCAAACACATGTTGTTGATGCTGTGCATGTTTGGGATGTTTACCAGGGCAAGCGGCAGTGGAATCAAATATGAATCGATCATAGGAAGACAGCACGCCAGTGGTCCTGCATGGACATGACCACTTGAATGTTTTGGATTCGGGCATATTTTAATATATTTTTTATAAGTGGGTTTAAATTGATCTATCCACAACCTTGAAATCAAGCCCATTGAACTACAGTTCTTGTTGATTCAACCTTCTCATTTGGAATAAATTGGAAGATACTGGAAGTCATGTGCAGCGGAACCGTTGGAACACCAAATCAACTATTTTGAGGGTACCCTGCGGTTCTTAAGTCAACTAGATGTGCATGTTGATGTACGTCAAGTTCGTGTTTATAACCACCCCATAGAAGGCAAGAGTCCACCCCAATAAAAAAACTGGGGCTTGTCATACACAAAAAAGCAACCAACCTGCCTGCCAAAGGGTCGAGATTTCTCTTTTCAGTGGCAACCTCCCTCCCAATGGGGTGAGATGGTGAGATTGGACATGTGACATCCCTTCAAAACATTACTTGTTCACCCATTAAAAAACAATTATATAAAACCATTTACAAAAATAATTACATCCTGACTACCACGAACTTAGGATTTCTGAGCAGGGTGTTGTTTAATAGGGTGGGCGGGTCGCACACGTTTATGAATAGGGAGGGACCAACCCAAAGTAGTATTGCCAATTCTTCTTTGGTATTGATTGATTCGGGGATGATTATGAATCAATCAATCGTTCAATGAACAACTATTATGAATTATGAATGATTACGAATGATTATGAACTTAACATTCCTGTGTTAATCGTTAAATTGGATATCTGCAGATGGTTGCTGCATAACTGCTAGGCTATCAGATGCAATTCCGTGCAGCTGCTCGCCATGCCAAAGAGACGCTTGGAACTTGGAAGTTTGGCGCCTGTGTTTGAACATGGAGGATGAACCCCAAAGATGGCTCTGAAAAAGTATAGGAAAACGATGGAAAACTTGTGGTTTTTAGCATTAACTGGGTTTATCAATTTCTGATTAAGCATTACATCCATTTTAAATGGCTTCATCCCCCATGTCTTGATTAATTGACCCACGAACCCCCGAAACATGCCTTTAAGTTGAGGATTAAACTCACCGCTCAACAAGAAAAACACCAGAATGAACCAGGGGTGACTGAATCTATGCCTGTTCCCGTGTCCTCACAACGGATTCCGTTCACAAATACTTAGTTACTTAACACATACGGTCATATGTGCAATGATCAAAAGACGCTATGAAAGGCTTCAATTACGATCCGCCATCACTACTCAAAACATGTGATTTACTGTGTGTAGCGATAGGGGGCCTTGTGTAGCGATACCTCTTTTTAGACTTTGTTTATGATTGAACCTTCCTGTTGGGCGCATGACTTTCCAATCTTTTGATGTCAGAGTGCGACACTGGAGCAGTCGCAGTGGGCTGGTCTTCCTGGGTAGTTGCAAGATGGCCTGTCGTCAAGTATATATGAGATTGTTACATTAAACAATGTTGATATATTGGGGTATGTTGATCGATAAGGTATGCAAGAAACTAATTCACAACGCATCATGAGCTTGATGATGGTGATGATGCTGATGATGATGGTGATGGTGATGATGTTGATTCAGATAGTGACCGTGCTGAGATATGTTGAAAAAGCATCCTTGTGTCTAGCTGAAGCTGTCAACGTCAGCCTTGGTGATCACGTAAAAGTTTGAATTTCCCTGGAGATACCATCGCAAGGGGAATAAGAATCCGATTCCTCATTTGGATCCTCCTCTTCTAGCAACGATTCTGCCTAGTTGGTGAAAAGGGTGCTGGGACTGTGTGTAGCGATAGGGGGCCTTGTGAAGCGATGCTATGACCTCACCACATGAATTGAGTTTTGACGGTCGCACATATGGTACGGTATAATACATATATCATTTATATATATATATAATTATATAATATACATCTATGTCATAGTATATCATATACACATGAATATACTCATTTGTATATATATATACACATCAGTATACATCAGTATTTCATAGAATACTTCAGCAAACATGCACAGCACATCCCACGTAACGGCCTGGCGCATTAGGAACGGCCTGGAATCTGGCCTCCAGTTGGCGAAGACCTTGATCCATTGGTCGGCACCTCCCATCATTGCAGGTGGGGACGATCCCAACTGACGAAGTCATATGTTTCAGAGGGGTAGCTATACCACCAACCAGATATAACATGATATAACATGATATAGCCAGATTATATAAAGATGAATTCATGATTTTAACTGTAAATAAATATTAATGTAAATATTAATATATATATATGTATATATATATATGTGTATGTATTATATAATGCACATCTAGATAGTACCATTATGTACTAATATATGCACGTAGATGGACCGAAAGTATCTCAGCAACTCCCCAGGCAGCCGCGCCGCCACCCAACTGGGCCGTGGCATGACCGTGGCGCTGAAGGCCTGCAGTTCCAAGGGCGAAACAGAGAAGATGGGCCTGGCACCTTGTCCCGTTCAGAACTACCAGATGAAACGGGGGGATGAACCATCAAACTATGGGGGGGGGTGGATATAAATGCTGAAATCGATAATATATGATATATTCATTATATCATGGATTATTTGATTATCTATGGAACAGAATTATCAACTATAAACTCCAAACGATTTATCGATAATGATTGATCTATGGATAATATGGGGTTGCTCCAACCTATTGTAGGTAATCATGGCAAAGGCAAATTGGCAGTTTGACCTCTATATTTAGCAATTCTTCCCCGATTTTATACGGGGTGTTGGGAGCAACCCCGTCAGTAGTCAAAGATTTCGGTAAGCTGTAGGTTGATAATAACTGGTTGGTGGTTTGGAACAAGTTTTTTTTTCCATATGGTTGACCCAATTACAAACGCACCTTGCAGTACCCACAGATCAGAGAGAGAAACCTGCACTTGAGGAAAATGAGGCCCACATTCCCAAACTTTCCCTCTCCTCTAGCCTGCAAGATTGTAAAGCCTTGTATCCTTTGTGGGATTGGTCCCCAATCCATGGTCCACTACACGTGGACCACCTCGCTCGCTTGATGCCCATGATGCTGCCAACTGCAAATTGCCCGCCAGCTTGTCAAAAACTAACTGGAAGAAAATTCTTCGGTGGCTCGTAACCCTTTCCTGGGATCCCGACCCTAATGGTTCAACCAGTTTTCTGCAGCTAGGGTTTGCCGCTTGGCACGCTGGAGTGAGACTTGAGGCCAAAGATTTGACTCCAGCTTGCTATGCCACTATGATTAGGAAAGCCTTCAACATCATCACCAAGAAATTCCCTGACACTCCTGCCATGCCTGGCAAAGTTTCCGAGAAATGCAAAAGTGATGGGAAAGTCCATACTTCAGGCTACATAAAGGGCGGGAAGATTGCCATGCCTTTCCCTGCCAATCGCATGCTTGGGGTTGCTTTTGTGGGTCGAAACCATGTCCTGTCTAGCTGGAAGTTTCTTTTTAATTCAATCAGCTGATCACTCTGCTTTTCTCTTCTCTTGATGACTCTGATGCGAGTCTCGTTTCTTTGATGCCCGTGGTCTGTGTGACCGCGTGCTGCGAGTGAGAACGCCTCCCACCTTGTGTGAACAACTGACTTTCATATTTTTCAGAGGGGTAGGTATACCACCAACCAGGTAATGTAGGTTGACAATGATTCAAGATGATTCAAGTATATTTAAGCATCAAAAAGACATGTGCCGGGACAACACTGGGGATTTCACCAGCGTTGCGCTTCGGGCGCTTCGTACATCGCTGGGCATTCGTGACCCAACATGGGGATCCATCGTGATACAACCAGCAATGGAGAAAACATGGTCTTCGTCTTCATCGATTTTACTGTGTGGGAATTCAATGGTTATATAATGCTTATATGACGGTTAATCATTGGCTTAATATGACTAGTGATCAATGGGTGATATGATATTATGACTATCTGGTTGGTGGTTTGGAACATGGTTTTTATTTTCCATTTCATATTTGGGATGTCATTCTTCCCATTGACGAACTCCATCATTTTTCAAGATGCTTATTGCACCACCAGACTTATGGGAAAAACATGTGGTTTTAGCCAATCAAGACGTTGCTAAGAAAGGTACAAAGCAACCACAATTGTAGATTTAGTAGGGTCATGAAAAATAACTTACAAGGACTGAAGCACGAAGTTGGACACTGTACAAATTCATCAAACTGTGGACATGACCCAACCCAAACAGCTTGGACTTGTGCTGGGGGGCGGTTTGAGAAACTCAAAGTCCTAAGGACCTTGAAGTGCTCGTGCCATGGTTGCGTGATGCTGGATGTCCTTTACCAGGCTGGGGCAGAAAATTTATCTTGGGGAACACACAAGGAATGGCTTTGAAAATTAAATAACTGGTTGGTGGTTTGGAACATGAATTTTATGACTTTCTATTCAGTTGGGAATGTCATCATCCCAACTGACGAACTCATATTTTCAGAGGGGTCGGTATACCACCAACCAGACAATATTCTGATATACCCTCCACGTTGTGGTTTAAAAGGGCTAAGTTAGGTTCTGATCCACCAAATTTGAGGCGTTCCACCTTTTTTTTGTGAACCATACCATAAATGCAGGGAAATCAAAGACTTCACAGAAGTGAGCAGTGCTGCAGGCCCAGCTGCGCAAAAGCTGGCAACGCAACTGGCCGAGGATTTTGGTCTCTTAGGCCTGAGCCAAGAGATGTTTTTCGTTGGATGTTTTAGGACGGGGGGGGTGGCTCGAACATCAGTTTGGGGAAATATTGGGTGGGATATTGTTAGGTCTTTATTGGATTTTATTGGGATAATAATGGGAAGCACCCACTTAGAACCTCCCGTAAAGAAGAATAGGCCCCATGCCGCCCTATGAAATATAGTGGCAAACACGTGATAACACTCCAAACATTCGGTGCTTATGGATGAAATAATGAATTCTCCAGCTGGCTTTTTGAACCACCACCGACGATGACTGAACTTGCAAGTCGTTGTTTGACACAAGTCAATTCTTGCAAACTGAAATGGAAGGCTGCAGATTGTGTTCCAAGCTTGCAAGGATGATTGAATATTGGATACGGCCATGTTGTGTTTTTTTTTGTTCTCGATTTACCCTCTGACGATCAAGCACGGCCATGCAAAATGACCATGTTTGGCAAATCATCTACACAGGGGTCATTTGCCATGGCTATAGTATGTTAAATTACCAGAGGCCTACAATGGGTACAACATGTGATGTTGGACCCGCCCAATTTTTCAACTGGTTGGTCAGCCCAGTGGCAGGTCAAAGCATTACAGCTCACCCACAGAAGAGGCTGTGGGATGTGACTTGGGACTTGGGATTTTGATGGATTTGGATTATTTTGGATTAATCTGTGCTTGATATGAGTGAAAATCATGTTTCGAACAGGCCTCAGCAGCTTCTGAGTGTATGAAAACAAGCAAACAAACGACTGAAAACTTCTAAGATTCAGGCAGACACTCTTTGGTCAGGCCGCGGCCTTGGCGCTTGACTGCTCCTGCTGGTGTTTGGCCGCTGGTCACTGCGCTGCAAGCCATTGGCAGCCGGATTCCGCGCAGTAACAGCTGGCAGGCCCGATGGGATGCACATCTGCAGTTGGAAGGACCTTACCGTGACGTCACTGAAACATGAAGGTTGTTGGTAGGGGTATATTGTATATTCATATAACATCATATAACTATGCCAAAATGGACAAACTGTTCGAGTTAGTTTATATATGATTGTTGTATATTGTTGTAACTTTGCACCACTGAACGTAAGGATTTCACGAACAAACGTTGTGAGTTTACGGGAAAATATATACCCTTGGGCGAGCCCTCAGTATGAAACATGATGAAACCATCCGCAGTTTAGGGAAACAACTACCAAATTTGGGAAGATTTGACGATCCCTTGCTGCCAAGTGGCAAGGTTCCCCTACTTCAACAGACCATGAAACTGGCCACATCTGGTGTTTTCAAAGCTATATATGGAAAATCCAAGGGTCCACATGTGCTTCTCTTTTGGCGGTTGTTTTCAATTGTAAACATCAAAGTTTCATTGCTTGTAAGTTTTCAAACCCTTTTTTTTTGGTACAGTTATGTACAGGAAATGTCCGGAGAACTTCCCGGGCTTTCCAAAGACTAGGGCCCTGTTTGCTCAGCTCATGGCAACATCAGGACCTGGTTCGAAAGGACGGATGTCTATATAGTTGGTTGATGATGGGGGTACCCCCACATGGTTTCCTAAGTCATGGGGGTACCCCCAAATCATCCATTTTAATAGGATTTTCATGGAAGTGATGATGGTGATGATGATGGTGATGATGATGATGGTGATGATGATGGTGATGATCTTGATCACGACATTGAAAATCATATTGCTCTTGTTGTTGATATATGGATGTTGATGTTGATGGTGGTGGTCATGATGACAAGCAAAGACTGTCTTGCCATGACTGTGATCAAATGGGTATGGCTCAAACTGATTCATACAGCCACACTGTTGTGTGGGTCCAATGGTATTTTGGTCGCCAAACCCAGAACAAAAGTAATGCCATATTTGTCCATTTTAGGTATTGATCCCCATTTCAAGCACCAAATTACATACTCCATGTCCATATATTTACACATATGCTTTACACTTCTCTTTATGAACATGTAATTTGGCATAGTATATATATACATAATGTTTTCAGCATCTTATTTGCATTATTTGAAATCCTCTGACATGCAATACATAATGATATAAGGATAGTAAACAAAACAATATCTACATGTGTCTAAATGTATCTGAATAGACATTAAAAAAAACACATCATACATCTAGATATATGAATATCCATGTATATCCGCAAACATCTGCATATATCTGCATGCATCTACTGTAATATATATATATATAAATAACAAGTATATAAGTATATCCATATCCATTGACAAACTTATCTTATACTTATATTGTATGAATGTACTGTTATGACTCATCTGTCGGTTACATATACAGTATATATATATACATATAATTATATATACATATATATATATATACATCATATGTACTTAGTATATAGTCTATATACATATGACTAATCCTGCCAGGCGAAGTTGCAGGAGACTGCCAAGCGTCGCCTGGCCAAACGCCGACCGGCGCAGCAGCCGGTTCCGCCGGTTCCGCCTGCGGCCACGGCGGCCACGGTGACGTGGCTGGCGCCGTTGGAAAAGAAGAGCCTGGGAGCCCAGGAACTGCTGGCAATAATAGAAGCCGACTACTACTTATAGTTTACGAAAGAACTATAACTACCCAATATCAGAATGGTTTTTTAATGGTGTTTATGATGTTTTTTTTGGTAGGTGATTTAAATTGTCAGAATGGCAGCTTTTTCATAGGGGAAATTATCATGATTTATTATTGGGTGATGACACATGCAATGTGACCATCAGTTGGGTGTTTCTTTTTTACGGTGCATAACCCCAAATGGCAATTCTAATGGGGAAAATGATCATGCAATCAATATCCATCAATATCTGATGGATTTACCATCTGGTTATTGAACATAGCCATGGAAAATCCCCATTTTTAATAGGTAAACCATCTATAAATGGGCCATCTATACCATGGCTATGTTAAATAACCAGATGGTAGGGGATTATACGGTTTATACGCACTATTTCTTAGCTCTTTCACAATTCGTGGTGCATTTCTGCGACCATCCCCAGGTCATCCCCAGGTCACCCCAACTGCCATGCATTTTTCGCCGATCGCGCAAGCGATGTTTGTTACATCCCATACTCTCTGGTTCCCTGGTTAGTTGAATCAATCTTTACTATATCCTCATATATCCTTATTATACCATATTATATCCTTACTTTATTACTCGTGCCAAACTCAGATTGGGGACCAATGTCCTGTGGTCCAAGGTCCAGAAGCTACAGTGCCTTGGGTTCAGACATAGTGACGATTTTTGAGCGGGACCAGATACATTCAGATACCTTCACTACGGGAGATTGTACTATCCTTCAACAAACAGTCACAATATGTTATTTGTATTTATTTGTTATATATATATATATATATTTGTTTTTAAATATACACTATCTACCATACTGATTTATACTGTATGTTCATATAAATATATGTGTGTATTCTGATGCAATACATTGTGTTACATAGTGCATTCTCGATAGTAACATTATAGATGGTAAATAGTTAACATATGATGCAATAGATATCAATAGATAGTATAGCATATTAGTATATATATATAATCTATACTCATTATATTTGTATGTGTGACAGTGTGACATACAGTATGTATACTCATGATACTCTTGTATATATCATGCATGAGGCTATCCAAGAGCCAGGTCAAGCGGAAGAGAGACGAAAAGCCCAGGCGGAAATCCCGAGGGAAGGAAATCCGAAATCGGAAAAGGATGGAAAAAATGAGGGAATTCCAATTCAAGCCAACCAAAACCCGTGTTTTGGTGTGATTTTTGTGGGTTTACTTTTTTAAAAATCTATATGTTAGAAATTCGCTGATTTTTCTTCATGTCCATTCGCTATGATCACTTGATGCCAATCCCCCATATGCTCGCTGTAGGTCCACCGCGCCCCGGGTGCAAGTTCCGCAAGCGCCTCAAGCTGCGCCTGCCAAGCGCAAATGGCAGCTAAAGGATGAGTGAGGTAGCCGCTGTGTAGTGAAGATGGTGCATGACATATGGACTTAATACGGATTTAATTCATGACATAATGGTATTTGATATTATTTGATGGAATTCAATATGGATTCATACTGCACGGTATGATTGGGATGCTTTCATTTTTTAACAGTTAACTCCATTGGTTGGCATCAAACGATGAGAAATATGGAGTTCATGGGTGGCTATTAACCACCAAAGAAACAGGGCGATATTGGTTTCACCACAGAGTTTGAATTTGTACAATTTTATTATCCATCATGTTTTGTTATGTTTCATCATTGTATATATAAGAAGTATACACTCATCAGCTATTAATGGAAATATAACTATGGAACTATATCGAAACATATGTGTACATGTAAATACATATTCATTCAACATGGGAGTTTCCTACGTCATTGGGGGTCGAAACATAATCCAAGTGTTTTTTTTTGTATGGGGGGGGACCATGCAAAATGAACGGTTTCCGGTGCTATTTCAGGAACCACCCGCGTGTTCCAGTAGAAAGTTAAGTAGACTTCGACTTTTTTGTGGGGACGGAGTGGGTGGAGGTTGTGGCAATCTCAGATTTACCCAATGTTGTCCTTTCATTTATTTCTGTTTTAAAATCTGTCAGAGTTTCAAGCTGCCTCCCTGTTCTTAGCATGGAAACCCATTGAAGGAATGGTTACTTATTGGGATTGACTCTAAAACTCTAGCGCAGAAGGAATCACAGAATCACCTGTTCCAAAGTGCACAAGTGTTGATCTGCAGAGTCGTTAAATATCAAGCTGCATACTTCTACGGTTTGCATTGACGCCAACGCGTGCTATTTGTATAGTTCAGTGGGACGGCAAAGCCGCAAGACGCTGTGGACACATCGACGCTCAGGCGGTACAAATGGGAGCTGTCGGTAGCTGATTGTTGGACGTCGGTGATAAGTCTTTTCTCTCTTTTTTGTTCCAACATTCCAACATTGGATGATTGGCCCCAATATGACACGCGCTCAGGTGTGTTTGCTTCTTTGCCTTCCGACAGGTTTCTGAAGAGTAGCTAGACCGTGTTTTGGTTGGTTCATGGATGTTCATGGGTTGATTCTTGCCATGGTAGATACATCTAACTGTATTCTACTGTGTGTTGAATTTGACGATGCAACCAGGTTGACCTGGCTTGCTTGTAACCCTTTGCTTTCTTCAGGTAATTTATCTACAGATGGATGGTTTCCTTTCTTTTCCGTGTTTACTTGGCAGAGATTGGACCAATTTTGGTGGATTCGGGGATACTTTACCAAATGTTGATCTATGCCAATCTATGCTCATGTTGATTCATGTGTAAGCGGCAATCATACATATTGTGCGTTTGTTGCCAGTAGGATGTGCAATTATTGCAGCTGATTATTGCAGCTGATTAGGGCTCAAGTATGCTGTCCCCAAGAAGTTGAAAAGCCCAAATAACAACACCCACTCCCTACCGTTTGCAGAGGAGCAACAACAAATCAATATCATTATATAATCATTTGCCATCCAAACAGTGCGAGACGCGTTTTTTTTTCCGCAGAAACTGTCAACATTTTCGAGATTCCAAATCGACGGTCGAACAACGACCCGACTTGGAGCCACCATCCAAATCGTTTTTTGACCATACCATTGTGAGCTCAACCAGGCCCATTTCACATATCGACTCCTTAGATCTCCGATGCAGAATGACCGACAGTGAAACCAAGTGGAAAGCTCAGTTTCTGGGCAGCGGAAGGCAAAAATGGTCCTGGTAAACAAAAGCCAGTGTTGCTGTTGTCAAACTTGCTTTGGTTAAGCCTCAATATGCCTCAATGTACCAACGATGAACCTGTCATATGTTTGCTCAGATGATACATGATGATACAGTATTGATTTGTCATGTTTGTGTGGATATTCTTTTCTTGGTTGGTTGTTGTTTTTTTGCTTGAAACGGTAGGTCATTGACATTGACATGTTCAAACCACATCCCTTTTGCTGTGTCAATGTAACTTACGTTCAACATTTTCAACCATGAAATTTCAATGATGTTGATGATATAACAATGGAAACCGTGTTTAAAAAAAACATTTCAATTATAATGGATGAAAAACAAGCATATCAATGGTATATGATCATGGTATGGTTGGATAATCATCACAATATCAAAAATCAGCATGTTTCACCCATGGAATCCCCAAATATGTTGATTATATCATCCGCGGAAACACTTTAGAAATAAAAATAACCCATGGAAGTTGAATTATATATTATATATATAATTATATAACATGGGAAATGGACTATATATATATATATACAGATAGCATGGAAATGGAATTATGTATATATATATATATACACACTGGTTAATGTTTTTTTCAACATGCGTCACTCGTCACCCATGTTTTCATGGGATGTCGGATCTGATCCCCACGCTCCAGGACGAAGGCCTCCAAGGCGCCTGATGAGGTGGGCTGGGGAAGTTGAAAACGGGTGCACCTGTTCATGAGAAAATATCATATAACATACAATAGATACAAAACTTATACAGCATAATCAGCATAATACATGATTCTACATGAACAATCATGCACACGCCTCTCTCTATATATATATATATATATACATATATATATATATACATAGATAGACATATGATTCCATATACATATCTAAGGATTTATTGTTAGAAATTATGCGCATATGTCACATAGATATGGATAGAATTGAATTGAGTGTTTGAGCGTATCCTTTTTTACAGTACATATATACGTATGCATATACATACATACATACATACATACATACATACATACATACATACATACATACATACATACATACATACGTACATACGTACATACGTACATACGTACATACGTACATACGTACATACGTACATACGTACATACGTACATACGTACATACGTACATACGTACATACGTACATACATTTATGATCATTTATGTATATATATATATATCTATATATCTATGCATTTGCATCTATACATATGGGCTGATTATTCCAACATCTTATGTTGCGAAACCAACTGCATAGATAGTTTGCCTATGTTTTTTCTTATGACTTCAGACTTCACCTGATATCACACTAGCTATAGATTGCAAACCTGGCTACTCACTACTTTTGGCCTGGCATGAAATACGTTCATTACGAAGAATCGCCTAACTTCTTTTTTGCATCACACATAAGTTGTGTGTGTGCTATTGTTTTGTTTTTTCTTGTGTTACATAGATGGCTGCCATGTGTTGCGGGTGATTTGAGGTGTGCTCCTCGCGTCAGGCCGAAGCACGAAAGTCAGAGGAAGAGCCACAGGAGCCATTTGAGAATCAAACGTGGCAGTTGAAAATCCCTTTATATATATAATTATATATATATATATATATCAATATGTATATATATATATATGATTATATATATATATATGTAAAAGTGCTGGTGTCAGTGGGAAATCATCCATACATGGATTATGTTCCATTGCTATGTTTGATTACTGGAGGGTAAGCCTGGTAAATCACAAAATATACGTGAATGGTGTTGAAAACCTCTGTTTATTGATGAGTATAGGGGGTTTTATACTATCCCATATAATGGGGACTGTCACAATCCTATCTCCCAATTTCATACCCTCTGGCAATCAAAACATGGATTGATGGACTGATGGAAGATTCGAGGCTTAGTTTGATGATTTTCCCATTTGAATGAATTGTAAAAGGAATTTCTCAGCTAGCCATGTCTGACAGAGGGTAACAATTATGGGAATGAATGATGTTGGAGATTGGAGGATTTCTTTTGGCTATGACATTGAATACATACATGTGTGAGTAAACGCATATCATAACCACACTGGGTTACCGGGTAATATTATCCAGGAGATTTCCCCCATCCATGAAGGGGGGGTGGTCCAGCATTTATTTTGATGTTTTCTCACCACATTAACCAGGTAATCCAAAGGTTATATATAATTCAAATGACAAAACTGTGTGGCGCGAATCTGTATTTTGAGATAATTTGCAGCATTGAAATTTGTACGCGCCTCGGTGTGGATGCATCATGGCCTGTTCAGGATCAAACATTCAATTCATAGATCCCTGATTTCGATTCATTTCGCGAGAATGCTCCCTGATTGCCGCCATTGGGTATTCCGAACATTTCCTAAAGATCAAACATCAACTAGAAATCTCACTGCTCTGCTCATGATTTCGAATCAGATCTTGACATGGGAGGTGGTGATTTGCCAGGAGGCAGCACCAGTGGCAGCTCAGAAGTCTTTGAAAGAGCCGCTGAGCTGCGATACTTCAGTTTTTGGGACCCCGCATTGAATGGATCTGCTGTGAAAACGAGTTTGTTGCGGGATTCAAAAGGGATCATTCATTTTTTGCAGCCTGATACTCTGAGTGCCGCGCGCGAAACTCAGCAAGGCAACGAAAGCACAATTAATCAGCGAAAGCAGGAAATGATCTGAGGACAGAGAAGGGAATATCAATGGACCGACAGGACACACCAGGACCTCTACCAGAGGGAGACCCACCTGAATAGCCAATTTGAGCAGAAGAATGAACACTCAGGAAAGTGACTTTGTGAATAGAGACGGGTTTGAACAACCCAACAAAACCACTCATCCTCCCAAAATAGAGGTCGCGGAGATTCATGCAATGATGATATGAAGTGAATTCTCCTTTGCAGAAACGGCGAAAACGGGTCTTGAATTGATTCAAAAAATGTTGAAGTTTCTTGCCATCAACCCACTCGGGTAAATCAGGATAACAACCCACAAAGTCAAAAAACACCAAGACCCATGGAACTTTGGGCCCTTGCTGATTGACCAGAAACTCTACACAGACATCCTGGGTGTACCTAGACAAAGCCTGGAAGTACTCACCAGAATAATTCTGCAACCTAGACCTAGCATTCCGCTGGTCCAGCTGAGGAAAGACATGGGGTTGAACAATGACAGAGGTGAAAGAATCCCGAAAAGTTTGATAAACGTCCCAGAGTCTGTCGAAGTCATTCGGGCGAACGGTCCCGTTTTCACACTTGGTCAAGAATTCACTGTTACACTGCTCAGGGAAAAGGTGTGAAGGGGTTGGATCACTCGGAGGTTGGTCTGACGGGCACAAAAATTGGCACGCACATCGTTCGCCCAGCGTGGCAATGATATGGCATTGCCATGACACAGCCACTGTGATCAACTTACGGTAAGGTTCGAGCTTGGCTCTAAACGCATCTCTAGCTACAGCCCTAGCGGCTGCATCCACCATGCTATTTCCATACGTAAGATATGGATCCTGACTAGACTTTGCCGTACAATGGGCCTTTACTTTTATGATATGCACCCTACCAGGACGAGATTTCGCAACGGAGCAAACCAAATTCCAGCAATCCCAGTTGTCCAACTTGTGAATCCATTCGCGAGAAAAATCAGCATCTTGAAGCCTTTTGAAAATTCGAACAACCGTCAAACAATCACTAGCAATGGTGATAGGACCACTGGAATGTGACAACGCCAATGCTGCTGCAAAAATTTCCGACCTCTGGCTCGTGCAATCTTGCATGGGGAGGAGGCACGCAAAATTGCACTCCGTGGAAAGAAAATATGCTGACGCAGCCGTGGCAACCTGGTGCCAATTGCTTTTGTAACAAGACCCATCAATAAAAACAATCTCAGTCGGGAAAAAAGGCCCACCCGGTCGCTCGGGGCACGTGAGACAACATGATTCGAACTGAAAAGGGGGAGAAAACACAACCCCTGTCAACATAGTGACGTCATGACCAGGCTCGACTGGCGCAGGCCTCGTTCTGGAATAAGCCGGGCAATCACAAAACAAATGCCTCACAGTCTCCTTTTCCCCACACGAGATGCACAAATTATCCGGGGCCAAGCCAGCAGCATGAAGCCGAGAGGAAGTGAAAACACGGCCCGTCTGTGCCATCCGCAGCAGGTTCTTACTGTAGGCCCAACTTCGGGGGATTTTGTCAACATGAGGCTTGAGGAAATCAAACTCTTCATCGCTCCTCATCTTTTGATCAAACAAGAACCTCGTGAGTGAAATGTCTAGCAAGTGGCCTTCAGGAATCCTGCATGTTTCTTGGCGCACCGGCTGCTGCTTGAAAAGATAAGTTCTAACGGAAGAAGCGACAATACCAGAAAAATATTGGTCGCTCCATGCGCTGAAGGGGAATGACCCATGAGGTGTGGATACTGTGAAATCATCAGGTGATATAACTGCCCAATTCAACTCAGACAATATATACGACAGCACATTTGAAAAACCATGACAGGCTCCTGATTTCGGCGTGGGATCTCTGAGAACAGCTCCTAACGCCCTTTTTGCAATATTTGGGTGGAATTTGACGAGTTTGCGAGCATGGTTCAAGACATGACATGCCCACTTTGCAAACGGATCCAGAAATACATCCTCCAATGTAGCCATGACAGCAAAAGGTGACCGCATGTTGTGAGATGAGGGGTCAAAAATATCACACACTTGCGTACGCAATTTTTGAAGATCTTTCTTGGGGATGCCCTGTGTTTCACTACCGAACACCCATTTGGAGTGGGCATGTGCATGAATGTACACAGACTTCTGGGGAGGGGACAGTGGCAACTGTCGAATCTTTTTAAGACAGTCGCTCGCCTTTGCTACACGGTTTGATTGCATTGTAGCGTTACGGCACTTATTCATCTGTTGAACACGTCCTAGTGATTTAACCTGGGAAGAAACCTGAACTGGGAGTTGGATTTTCTGCTTCAACAGCTTTCCTTTGAGGACCCTTCTAGCCAGGATTTCAGTTTTCTGGGGGTTGAGTTGTTGACCAATGTCTTTATCAAATTGCCGCACAAATTCAAACGCTCCAGCAATTTCATCAACATAGTGGAAGGAACCCCATATTTTTGCATCATCAATAAAGGTCGCAATGGAGACATGATGAAACTGGTTGGTCATGGCCTTGGTCATAATGGAATAGAACGCATTTACCATTAAAATTGACATAGAACAACCTTGAATGGCACTGTTTTTGGAAAACACCTTCCGCCCATAAAATCGTCCAATCTTGAATATCTTGATTTGGCCCCGATAAAAACCAGTCAAAGCCCTCGCTACGTTAAGGGGAAGCCCAATGTCACAAGCTATCTGAACAGCAAAATCAGGTACCAACATGTCAAAACATTTTGCACGATCTAAAAATATGGCGATGGGATCAGGATTCTGGTCATGTTCATGAAATTCAAGGGACAAGTCGATCTCATGGGAATCAGCACTCCGCCCGGGTATCCCTCCTAGAAGGCATGATGGGGCGATTGAATTCATCCATGTCGATAAATGTCTAAATCTGAGGGAAGACCACAAAGAATAGACAACACTGCTGACACCAATGGCGCGAATCTGATTCGGGTTCAAAACAGGTCCGTCCTTTTTAGGCAAACATGTCACAGTGATACACTTTACAATGTTCGGCCATTCACCTACAGCTTCAACTAGTTTGCATACAAGGACAAAGAGCTGCCAAGCTGACACAGGAAGTTGCTGCAGTTCCCGATATGACCACATGTCAAGACCGGAAGCCTTGGTAGGGGACTTGCTTTGACACAAATCCCAAAAATCTTGCTCATTCAAACTGGGAACACTAGCCTCGCAGAACGTTTGAGAAATTGAATCCCGATACTTCTCGCGAAAATATTCAATCTGGGAAGGGGTATCCCATTCCATGTGTTGATTGTATACACTTTCCATATGGTCTGAAACAGATTCCAGCATTTCAGATACCGATCCGGACAAGGAACCGTCACTTCGCTGCATCAGTCGCGGCACTGTAGCGAAAGAACCTTTCAACCACCTGTGTACCAACTTTTTGTCGGCTGCGTTTGAAATACGCAGCTTCTTTCGCCAGGCCCTCAGCCCTGAAGCTTTGACTTTCTGGTCGTACTTCTGATCCCAATCTTGGAAGGTTTGGAAATCACTTGAAAAATTCTTTCGTTCTGACAAGAAACCCTCAGGGAAAGGAAAGCAAACCGCCTGGAGTTCACGCTCCAACTTATGAAGGGTTTGATTATAAGAATTTCGCCAAGCAAAGGAAATATTGGACTCAAAAACAGAAGCCTTTCTGATCATTTCCCGGAACAGAGCAGAGATGCGAGCAATTCATCTCAAGTGCGAGGAATGTAGAGGACAAGGACATTTCGAAAACCACTGGCACACAATTGGATACAAATTCAATGCATAAAGATGTCTTCTATCGTTAGCAAACATGAAATGTGTGGTCTAAGCCGTGTTTATTTTCCTCCCCTGTGGTGCTTCATTGATGGTTTCCAACCTAGCCTCGGGAGGTGGATGATTTCAACCTGGTAATGTAAAGATCCCCATTTCTGCATCTATTCATAGATGATATCCATGGAACACTGGGATTTCCCATGCTGGCACCTCAGGTACTTCAGCTGGCGGCCAGTACCATGGTCTGCCGGGCAGTGTGTTAATGATGTACCCCAGGGTTGGTCGAATCATTTCCCTCTGAAAATTGCAATTTGCGGGGATACTGTACCCAAGTAGACTTCCTACAAGATTTCAATTTCGATACTTTTACGAGTTTCTGATTTTTCCATTTGAGTCTTTTTTGGTCAATTCGAAGGACCTTTTTTGGGGCTCACTGCCCCAGGAACATGCAGATCATGCAGATTCTGACCCATCCCGTTGTGGCAATCAGTGGATAGCAGTGGCAGGAAATCTACACGTTGGGAGATCACCTTGCAGGAAAGTCCTATTCAGGTGAAGGTTGGTGAAGGTTTGTTTCTTTGCTCGTTCCTTGTCTCATCACTTCAGACCTGGTCACATACTGTTATGTCCTCTCAGGGAACTTGTGGGAGATCTAGCAGCTAAGCACAGTTCCCATTACACGCCACTTTCCACAGCGAGACAACAGCGCTTGAAGCATTCAGTATACTGTGTGTGTGTGTATTTTTGCTGGAAGCAGTGCAACAGCCTGCTTGATGCCAGGTGGGTCTGCTTTTTCCTTGGAATTTTCCTTTTGACCAAATTCCAAGTAGTCCCTGGGCGCAAATGAGAGGGTGTGGAGGTGTGGTGGCTCCTAGAAGTGACTTGAGGACCAGTGGTTTCGGATTGTCTTTTTACCCTTGGATGGATTTGGCTGGGTAGCTAGGCTGCGATTGAAGCCATGTCAGCAAATGCCAAGTGAATCTGCCGAAGTGATGCTCCAGTGAACATCCTTTTTCTGGCTAGGCAAACCCAACTGAAGTTGCGCCACTTGAAATTAGCCGCAGAGCCTCAAGACACAAAAAGACTCGCGGACACTTCACCAGAAGATGTCGGGCGGCTATGCGAATCTCTCGACTCGTGGACACAGCAGTTGGTTTCTCACCAGAACCAACAAGGAGCACGCAGCAACTATGGAGCATCCCTTCATGAGGACTGTTTGGTCATGCCATATTTCTTCATCCATTGTTTTGTTCATCCATTGTTTTGTCCATTGACATGGCACAAGCGGGTCAACCTTGGATGCATCTATATATATATAGTTTAATACGTTAGATAATCCTGAATATTACACGGATATCGAAGTGTTAAACTATAAAGTATAATTGTCTGTAGCATGTAATAAACTTTAGATGCCTTGTACTTTAGCTGGACAGCATTATAGCATATTATAGCATATTATAGCATTATTTCACGGATACATTATGATACATTCTATGCAGCTCAATGTGTTTTTTCTTGATGATATCTATTACATAGCGACATTTCCAGGAGTATCTATGCAGAAACTTTCGACGTGGAGGCTTACTGCCAATACCTAGCAGGTCTATGGCACATCTTCGGCGCCATTGAAGCGCAGTCCCTGAAGGCTGGAGAACCCGTGTCTCAGCTGGATGATGTGAATCTGCATCGACGTGAGGCGGGTGCGACCAGGAAAGGATGTTTGTCATTTGAGTTATGTTGTGACCAAGTGAAGGGGATGGTAGAGTTATTCAAACTTAAGGTGGAAAGTTCCTGGATTTTGCAACCAGGATGTTGTGATGGCATTGGTTTGGTATGTTTTTTTCCTGCTGACCGTAGATAGGAAAGCATCATTTCCAGTTTCTGTAGTAGAACCAAACTGTTTCTTGCAGGGCACCCAAGAGTATCTCTGTAAAGGTCTCTGCATAGTCGTGAGATGTTTGGAAAATCCCTTCCCCTAGTAACCTAGTAATTAATCAACATCCCCAGAAGCCCTGGTTTAATGCTCGATTTGTTCATTTTGGGATCATACAAGAGGTGTTCTATCATTTGGAAGGAAGGACTACATCGATTTTCTCCATTTATATATTGCATATGCTTCAACCTCATGTTTACAGGTTGAATTCACATTCAATCATTCATGAATTATTATACAATGTATTTATGCTACATTTTTATATTCTATGATATTCATGTTTATTTGGTGCATGGCACCATGTATGCAGGTTATCTAAAGCCATCTAAAGCCATGTTTTCCCTGTGAGGCGTTGCAGCAGGACCTGGCCTTTTGGTGGGGCAGCGACTGGCAGCAGAAAGCCTCCAAAGTGTCGACGGCCACAGCCGCATACCTCCGACAGCTGCACAAAGACGCTGGGTCCGCTGGGTGACCGGTGATGATGTGGTAAACATGACATTTTGGTAGAACCATGGTGACCTAAACCCCCACGTTTGTTGGGATATGTTGGCCCCTATAACTATAGTTATTGTATGTTATTATATAAATATATTATATGCACTTAATTGGAACTGCACTTCCACGTTCACGTTCGGGGACTTACAGTATTTCGGCTGGTGGATGTCACCAATCAACATGATTCATAATTGATATGATGGGTATAAAACCATGGTGATGATTGTGGCAAATCATGGCAAATCCAATAATGAATAATGTAGTAAACCCAGTGCCGTAAACCATCGTCATCACAAACACTTTCTGAATACTAGGTATACCAAATTTCGTAGACCTCAATTCCTGAGTACAGTATTTATTATCGTGTTTACCTCACTGGGGCTTGAAATACCCAACCACTTCAATCACAGAAACACGATGTAACAGGCATATATATATATATATATATATATGGATTTTTCACTGGGTCATCAATAGCGTTGGAAACGTAAATAATCATTGATGATTGGGCACATGGATCCAATAGTCTTGAATCATATAGTTCGTTCAGACTTCTAATCACCATTGCAAGAGAAATGGAGTTTCAAGTCTGTGTCAATTTCCAGACCACCAGAACAGAATCTTATAACAGGAGAATGGTGAGGATCAGCAGGCTAATACGTGTTTGATGGGTTGAAACCATATGATCAGCACAAGGAACATATATTATATCTGAATGTATTAGATACCATATTTCGGATATAATATATGTTCCTTGTGCTGATCATATTTACCTTTTATAATATAGGTGTTTGTGAAACCTAATATTATATTTACCGAGTTTTACCTTTTATGGCCGTTGACATGTGGGAATTCATATCCAGCAACATCCGAAGGGTCACTGCGACAGCACCCCCAAGAGGTGGAGCATCTCTGGGTGCTAACTTCCAAGTTGATAAGTGTACAGCAATCAGAGATGTGCACCTGTGCACCACACATTTTCCAAGGTATTTGAGAACTAGGCCAACTATCGTTTATCAATGTTTATCAATGTTTATCAATGTTTATTATGCAAATTGTTCATCTTTCTTCTGTATTATCATGCAATATAGCCAAAAAGGGGGTGAATTCCACCAAGCTCTGGGCACCACCTGGTAGGACTCCACGGATCCCTACAGCTTGCTTTGTCATCACTTTCTTCAGTACAATGCCGTGCTGAGTGGTGGTCAATTCCTGGGCTCCAAGGTAGCCAAGCGGTCTAAGAAGGCACCACCCAGCGGGGTACAATTCTACACTTTCGCTCTGGAAGATCCTTCCCCTCATGCTCGCGTGCAACGTTACCGCGCTGCATTCTTTCAATGAGTTTTCAACTGGGAATTGCTCAACATGGTACAGCATATACATAGAAAATATTGATAGTTCAAGAGCAAAAGCTAGCAGGTTAAAATTGCATTTACTTGGGTGACCCATGCTTGTGCCATGTCCAGATACATTTTTGTTCAACCACAAAAATATGTTTTTAACGATGTCGTGTTGTGTTTGATGTTTGATTCCGCAGCATTGGAGCGTTCAGGTTGAACGCTCCAACCAGGTTACTTAGATGATCTTGACAAGCTGAACATTTCCAACGAGCTCAGGGATCGCATGCTGCAGACCATGAAGACGATCTACAGACTGATTTTAGGAACCTTTGATGAAGCTTACAACCTGTGAAACTTGGATTCGCTTCATGATATGATTGTCCATTTATATGAACAATTCTGAGGCATATGCAGTATTTGATTTATCATGGACGAATTCTCACATACCCATATATATGCATACATATATATATAATATCTATATATATATATATATATACATATGATCTATATACTTATATATACGTATTCCAATAAGTATTGCCTCACCCGAGCATCTCCGAAAAGAAGCTTCACGTGTCCGTTTCGTGCGCAGGTCCGGTTGAAGGTGTGTCCTACGCTTCCATCAAGGCTGGCGCCGTCCCGGACGTTCCCTCGGCGCCCCTTGCGGCCACGCCGGCGGCGTCACCCAAGGTGCCGCCGCCGCCAGTGGCGCCCGGGGACAGGAAATTTACCCTGCAGGCGCTTGGGGAAGTTGTTTCTCCAGGTTTAAGTGAGTTTCACTTGAGCATGGATATATTATATGTTAAGACTGTTAAGATATATATATATATATATATGTAACATATATATATATATGACTATAATATTGAAAAGGGGATGAATAACGTGAGAGAACACGATACTTGGCGATAGTGGGACAGGATGGGATAAAGAGAATCAATATATGGAAAAACCAAACAGCCAAAAAAAAACTCGGAGGGTCTGCGGCACCTCCAGTTGATCTGATGCATGTTTGGCATTTTTTTGCTTTGCTGAGGTTTTTTTGTTTTCTGATGCGTTTTTTGTTGTAATCCTCGTTTTTTCCTTTTTCTCTGTTCTATAGATTGTTCTAGGATGGGTAAATGACAGCGGACATTGTTTTAATTTCAGTACCTACGAACGCAAATCCTTGGTAAATCCAATTCCAAATCTCAATAGTGTAACATCACCTAAAACTAGGGGCATAGCTTCTGCGTGGCTGAATCTGTCAGCGAGACTGTCATTGCCCACAAAATGCTGTCTCACTGGAATTGTTTGTTGAATTTTGGCATTTGCAGCATCTTTCCAAGACGCAACGGAAGTGAATACAACAAAATTTGTTGTCATGAAAAGAGCAAAGGTAAACCAGGAAAAACATAGAAAAACAGAAAATTCAGAGGACAGAAAACGGCGAAAAAGGGCGGGAAAACGGCGGAAAAGGACGGACTCTGAAAATTGAGCTCCAAATCTTGCCAGAAACATGTCCAAAAGATTTTATCACAGATTTTGTGTTTTCTATTTTTTTCCTGTCGTGAAACTTTGTTGAGAGCTGCAATCCAAGTGAGTCAATGTCGATGTAACGTAAGCCAACGCTTGAAATCTGTAACTATGAGAACCTATTATAATAGATATAATAGATATACGATTATACTGTACTGTAGGGCTTGTTTTCTGCATTGTTTTTCTTGCAGCGTTTATTACATATACCCACTACTTCCAAGAACAAAGTTAAACGTTGTCGTCCAAGTAAAGCCATGACTTTACTTAAAGACACTCATTGACTGCTGATATATATATATATATATCTACCATTTGGCCATACTAAAGGTCAAAAAAGGGTGACCTTTCCCCTGAGCCTAATCGAATCCGTAAATCAATCCTCAAAATTCTGAATAAACATATGTGGTTTCCATGCTCAAGTTGTTGATTGGTTTTCACGGGTTTTTCACTGTCTTTTCACGGGTTTTTCACGGTCGTTTCACGCACTTTTCACGCTCTGGGTTTGGAGTGGGATTTGTTTGAAACTCTGGAGTCCGGTATATATTTATACTAGTATTCATTGGGTCTGATAATGCCCAGTAAACACATGTCGCTTCCAAAGACCAAGTTAAACTTTGTCGTTGTGAAAGCCCCAGTTAAACTTTGTCGAAGACTGAGTGGGATACTTAGGTGCTCCTTGACAGTTATAACTAATTATAACTAAAGTTATGCAAAAAGTTATGTAAAGTTATGAAAGGCAGCAAATATCAACTATTTTGTCACATTTTTGTAACTTAGAAAAATTGAAAAAAACTGTTTTTTTATTTAACAAAAACAATATTTTTTCTAATTACAGTGGTTGAGCCTCTTTTAAGTTTTTTTTAAAAAAAAAATTAGCGGTTTTCATCGCTTCTATAATATATGGGCAAGTGTTTCGTGAGCGATTAGAAGAATCTCTTCCATGTTGAGTCAGCGGTTGACACCGCTCCTTTGCAACTCAGCGGTTGGGACCGCTTCCACGGTCATTCAGCGGTTGCCACCGCTCCCATGCAACTCAGCGGTTGGGACCGCTTCCATGTTCATTCAGCGGTTGGAACCGCTCCCATGCAACTCAGCGGTTGAAACCGCTTCCATGCTCAGTGAGCGACTATAAAACCGCTTCCATGTTCAGTCAGCGATTGATACCGCTTCAATCTATATATAGCGGCATGAAAGACCGCTCCACGGTACAAAAAGAAATATAAGCGGTTGAAATCCAGCTTGCATGAATTGGAGTCACACAGCAGTTTTTCACCGCAAGATCACAACCGTCGACTTGTTCTCATTCCAGCTGTGAAAGGTCGTGCGAATATGCGATCCTGCTTCTTCCAAGTCCATCACCACCATTTCGTCTAGCAAGCTCCATGTGCTGCACAGGCAGAGTGGGTCATGGTGAGAGCTTTGCGCTTGCATGCGTTGCACGATGAGCCCCAAGTCTTTGTTATTTGCAAAGCAAAGGACGATCATGTATACTGTATACATCTGATCATCCTTGAACATGAGGAGGTCATTGATTTTATACGAGTTGTGCTGGCATTGAAGTCGCCTGCCAAATTTGAAAGCATCAAAAGGCTGGTCCTTAAAAGGTTGTTGCAGCTCCCACGCCATGAACTTTGCATCTTGAATGGCCTCCACATCATGCTCGATCCATCTCAGCAAGATGCTCTGCTCGAAGCCGTGCAGCCGGGTGATCCTTGGTGCCAAGTCTTGTTTGAACACCTTGTGTTTCCTTTCTGTGGGAAACGTGTCCATCAAACAGCCAGACTTCGAGCATTGTGGCTCAAGGTGGCAGCCATAATGATGCTTCGGTCGGCACAACTCAGCGCCATAGCAAGCTTTGAAGCATCTCAGATGATGAGATTGGAGTTCTCGCAATCCAGCAGCTTCGTTTGGGTTGATTTTGGCGTCCAGAATTTTGGCACAGAGCGACGCTAAGGCTGTCAAAGATGCCATATGCAAAGAAAGGCCTTCTATTTCAGCAAGCATCTCCTTTGCAAAGTATGTTAAAAGCACAAGGATCTCTAAGGTCTGTGTACAAGATCCTTTGTAATCGCTTCCATCGGTTTTCAATAATTTGGGTGATGCGAGGGTTTTTAGCCGATACTGCGTCGATGTAGGTTCCCAATTTGCATTGAGTAAAGCCACAAAGTTAGCATGTGTCGCACCATGACTCGTTGCGGCTTGCCAAAAGAGTCCAATCTCTTGATTGGCTATACCATTTCCCCAAATTACATGCATCGCATCGTAAACAAATCGACTCGGCTGCATGATGGCTGCAAGTTCAGGATCCAGCACAAAGACAGAGGCATTGCGTTTCCATCCGCTGAGTTTCTCTGCTTCCTGAAGTTTTGTTTTGGTGCTTGTTTCTTCGACGTGGCACAAATGTTGTAAGATTTCCAGGACTTCTTGGTCTTCAACATCTTCGAAGTCATGGAAATTGTCATGATCTATACTGGGATAGCCTTCGACAGAGGATCCTTTTGCTATGCAATTGCTGCAGCGGATGCAAGGCCGCAAACCGCTGGCTCCTTTGTGTGCCAAACATTTTTTCAAGGCATCTTCATCCCCCAGCAAATATAATGTGGAAGTGATGACCAGCTGATCACCAATAACGAGACCGCGAAAAAATGGCAAGCATTGCCGGAGTATATGAGTCAGGACCTGCGGTAATCCTCCCGGAACTTGATCCAACAGGTCAGTTCTGATAATGGCCAGAGGTATCCAGAGGAGTTCTTTCCGCAATTTCACATGTTGTAGCCAGGCAAAATAGAAACACCAAGAACGACGTCGATTGTCTGGAGCAATGATATTGCCTGGAACAACTTCATCGAGATAAAAGCAACCAGAAACAGATCCTTCTTGAATCTGTTCCTCTAGAAGAGTGGTGCCAAAAAAGCGGGCCACCTGTGAGTCTTTGCAAAGAAGGTCTATGTAGACTTGCAAGTTCAAAATGCAAATTCCATGTTCTCTATTTTCCAGCAATGCGTTTTCCAAGCCCGCAAATCGGCTGATCCCGCATGGGCTTTTGTGATGAGCAAGTTCAGGCTCTTTGCGAAGTTTAGCTACAACTCTTCGAACGCCTGCATCAGAAACACCTTTGCAACCATAGCATTGGAAAAAGTCGTATACACCTTGCTTGCGCTTTGGCATGAAGGTATTGGGAGCTTATACAGCTCTGGAATAAAATAGATATTTAGCACACCCCATGCAAAGATTATATATGGAGATAAAGAAACAATGTTCGAATATAAACACGAAAGCGGCTGAATCCGCTTCATTCAGCGGTTGACACCGCTTCCATGCAAGAAAGCGGTTGCTATTGACCGCTACAATGGACGCATGAAAGCGGTTAGAACCGCTCCATGGAAGCATGCATGAACGGAGACACCGCTCCAATGAAAGCAACTCAGCGGTCAAAACCGCTACGTGCAGGAAAGCGCAGTCGATGGAACACAGCGGTTGCCACCGCTACATTGGAAGACAGCAGTTGCCACCGCTATACAATGGAAACATGAAAGTTGACAGCAACTCGATCAGCGGTTGCATGCAACCGTATAGCGGTTGAACGGACTTTGTTTTCCCTTTCACAATTCAAAAGTCTTTGCTAGCTCTTCGACTCTGGTTCTGCATGTCCAAACCAAAAAGTCCTGTATATAGCTCTGAGCTCCATGGCAAAAAGGAACATCCTGCAGCCTTAAGTCTTCAGCGCTGGCGCAGCGAAGCCGGCTTCTTCAGCGCAGGAGCGCGACTCTTCCCCGCAGACGGCTTCTTCATCGCAGCACCTCTTTCTTTCGGCGCCGCCGCCGGCTTCTGCCGCTTTGCCCCCTTCTTCAAATTGGTCTCCTTCTTCGGCGCCTCTTTCTTCGGCACCTGAAAATATAAGTCTTGGAAAGCGGTTATTATATACCAACTTGACATGCATGGAACACAGCGGTGTCGACCGCTACAATGGAAGACAGCGGTTGCGACCGCTCCATGGAATCAGATCCTGCATGCATGGAAGACAGCGATTGCCACCGCTACATTGGAACACAGCGGTTGCGACCGCTACAATGGAACACGGCCGCAATGCTCAAAAAAACATCTTCCTATATAGTCTTCTGCAGATTTGTGCCCGTATAGAGGTTTTTAATCTTCTTAACATATTTCTGCTTGACTGTGGCCTTCGTGTTCTCCTCAACTTTGCCATCCTTGCCACGCTC